CGGTAAATTTCTGTTAAGACGTGTCTATACTACAACCGTATGCAGTCAAAACATAAACAAACAAAATGTGAACATAGCAGACGAAACTTTTACAGGTTACAACTTCCTCAGTAGGTATCACTATACCAAATCAAAAACTTATTGAAAAAGACGATATAGAATTCGTCACTGAATTCCCATGTTTATTGGGACACCCTGTAGAAACTGCGGGAAACTTTTTGTTTGAAATGCTTGAAAATAAATCATCGATAGTCTCTAATTTAACAGTTGATTCAGCTTCATAAGATAATTTTTGTTTTTAGTGATTTATTTTGTAAGTCATAAAAGTTAGTTTTGGTTTTGAATTGTGGATTATACTAAAAAACAGGAAAGTGGGTTTTGTCTCGAAAACGCGACAATGTTTCAAATTCAGGATATGTTCGAAAATGGAATACCTGACATTGTCTTAAAAATGGTCAGAGATTTAATATAAGAAGAATTCCTATTATAATTTTGATTTTAAAAAAAGTTAGAAAATGGGAATGGTTGTCCTCGTCATGTTTAATAAAATGCATGGTTATAGTTTTTACTATCGACATTTACTCTGGATATGGGCCGGGATCCCAAAAACCCAGTCTTTCAATTTGTGCCAATTTCTAACTCTCAATGTTGGGAAATGGGCCAAGTGTTAGTTTTGAAACTAATGTCCCGTGCATTAACAATTTACAATTTACAATTGATAATTTACAATTTACAAATTAGTTTAATTATTATTATATTATAAAGATTTATTCACACACAAAGATATAAATACATATATAAATGGTGTAGTTAAAATTTGTTTAAATAAATTTTTTTGAAAATACAGGTTTCCAAAAGAAAAGAGAAAAAATATGCAAAATTATACAAATAGAAAACATTGATTTTTACTCACTACATAACATATTTATCATTTCAGTTATTACGTAATCATCGAATCCTTCAACATATAAATTATTCATTCTTGTACTTAAAAGTTCTTGTAAAACCGGAACTTTCCATTCATGTTCCAATGGGACATCAAAATATTTTATTTGTTTCTTAACTAACATTTTNTAGAGATATAAAGAAATATATCAAAAAATATAGAAATATATAAAAATATATAAAATTATATAGAACTATATAGAAATATGTAGAAATATGTAGAACTATATAGAAAAATTTATTAATATATCGAAATATGTAAATAAAAGAACTTGTAGAAGTGCCCGGCGTTGCTCGTGAAATAAAAAAATCGAATTTGGAAAAAAATTGGAAAAAAAATAATTAAAGAAAAGCGGAAGAACCCGGTGTTTGTGTAGCCTATGTTACCCCAGGGGTATAGTTTACATATATATTTATATATATACTAGGCTTTAATTCTATTTCAACTTTTGACTGTGGCTTTTTCTGTGAGCATCTCTTTGTACAGTATAAAAAAAAAAACCAAAAAAGTTTGCGGATTTCAAAATATTTTTTTTGCGCATTTTAAAAATTTTACAAAAATAAAAAACTTTAAACACAAATTTTTGAAATTTTGATCATTCATTAACCTTCCATGGGGTCATGTGAGGCCCTATACAAAATTTGGTCCCGATCGGTTTAGCTGTTTTGACGTTTATTTGATACAAACAGAAAGACAAACACAAAGACACCATCAAGCAAGATATATATAAAAGTAAAGAAAAATTACGATAAATTCCAAACTGCAGCATAACATTTTAATAAACACTTTTTTTAACGATGGAGATATCCTTGTTTTCATATTAGAGAATTGATCGTTTTCGATTTCAATATTTCAACAAGAAAACTAAAGAATTTTTGAAAGACAGAAAAACCCTAAATCTCCCATTGTTCCTCAGATTAAGATTTGAAGATTACTGGCGGGGTGTGAATCAAACTAAAGGACCACTTGCAATTTCGTGAACAGTCCTTTTAAGGGATTTATTTTTTTATCCGATGTTTCACGACCCCTAACTTGAATGGACCGGTGTAATTTAAAAAGGGGATCTCCGTTTATAGACTAGCAAATACAATTTACAACGGTACTATTGTATTTTGAAAGCTTTGTCTGATCATGAATCAATGAGATATCCATCTTTAACTCTTTAAGATCTTATTATTTTCAATTGTGGTTTCTATACAATACCGACTTGCGCATTTCTGCTGCGGATACAATGGGGTGGGGGGGGGGGGGGAATTATCAAAATTAAACACTGCAAGACAAATGACGATATCTTTCAAATTATTGAAAAGGTAAAACAGATTTAAAGTGTAACCCTAGTTAATGGGGACATTAGAAATTACATAGACGGTTCTGTTTTTGATTTCTAATAAAATCTACAAAAATCTTTTGAACAGAAATAGGGAAAAAATTGAGTCTTTCTTACAAGCTCAAATGTTTCCTTTATCTTTTCAATCTTATGGTGAAAGCTTTTGATATATCAAACATAGATCATTTGATCTAATATAGTTTAAATATAGTTTAAAATATTACAACATTAATTTGTATATTGGCATAGAGTAATAAAACGAAGAGGTAAAGCTTAGCTCATTTGTACACAACCGACCTCCCAATTAATTATTTAATAGAGTGGTTGGTTGTGTACATCCCGATATGTTTATGTATCTAACACTGTACACTTGTATAGAGTGTGATCGTATTTCTTTGTGGTGGTAAAATGTAGATAATTGAAAATTAGTATTGATAATTAGATAGCCACTTAATATGGATTGTATACTGCAGTACAGTCAAATTCAGTTGTTTGTTTATGTTAATAAAATTATAACCAAATTTTGCATCGTGAAAAAGTGCACAAACAATTCTTCTTGTAAAAATGTGAGTTTTTTCAAAATACCAAAACATTGTGCATGGCTAGACCTTTTAAGGTTAGAAGACTCCACCATATATCCCTCAAGTTGTATTTGCTCAAACCATTTTAAAGAAGGAGATATTAGTCAGGGGAAAAAACCAAGTTTGAAGAAAAATGCAACACCATTGCTCTCAACTTTAGGCGAGTCTAAAAATTTACTGTATTGTTTAATTTATAATGTTTTAATATTTAACATAATTCAAAAAAAGAAGTTGCAATTAAAGATGCGTGCACATCATTTTTTCAGTTCATTTGCTTATCATTTGTTATCTACCCATCCAGTTTGTGTTTTTTTTCAGTACTTCAGTAAAAGTTTGAATTTGCTTGTTCANCCCCCCCCCTTAAGAAGAATTGAAGAGAAGAAAGAATAAAAATGTTTTAAGTTTTAAGCTAAAAGCATGCCCATAGAAACTTAATATTTTTGACAGAACTTTTAGCTTATAAATTGAAAACCTACAAATTTGTCAATTTCATAAACCCCCCAAGAAATACGATCACTCTATATACAAGTGTACAGTGTTAGATACGTAAACATATCGTTATTCATGATGTACTCAACCTACCACTCTATTATTTAATTAATAGGGAGGTCGGTTGTGTACATCTGAGTTAAGCTTAACCTCTTCGTCTTATTACTCTATGGATATTGGGATTAGAGTTTGTGGGAAAAAAACAATTTCCTTTGTCAACAGGCTCTATCGCATTTTCCCAGGGGCAACTTCCCAACAACTTCCAAAATGTTCAATTTCCCAAGCGAGAACTTCCAAAAATGACGACGCCCTATTGATAACGCTGATGTCGACTTTGTATATATCAATTTGAACTAAAATTTGATTATAAAGAGGTGAACACGTCAATCAGCAATTTAACAACATCATTAAATCATTTGTTTGTATTTTGAAACAAAAACAAGAATTTACCAAATTCTTCAATACACAATTTTAAAAAGAAAATCTCAATATCTCAGATAAAATATGTAAATATAATGCAGGAATCTCTAACTATAAACTTTAATGATTGAGGTCTCCAAGAGGGTTTACTAAAAAACTGAGTATGAACATTTTGTCAATTTAATTTTAAAAATAGATGTGACTCCCTTCCAAGTTTTAATATGGGTTTACAAATTTGAAAAGCCCTAGACCCAGTATAAAAAAATGCAAAAATATTTTCATTTTCATACCTTAATCTATACTCTTTCTAAAAACCAAAGTTTTTTTCGTTTAAAAACGATCTTAAAAACTAAAAACTTAAAGTTAAAAAAATGTGGATATCTAGTTTTAACTAAATGCTCTTTTTAATTAAATTTACAAATCTTTATTTGTCTAGCCAGATCTATATTTGTCAACCTAGATCTATATTTGATTACCTAGACCTATAATTGATTACCTAGATCTATATTTGACTACCTAGATCTATATTTGATTACCTAGATCTATATTTGACTACCTAGATCTATATTTGATTACCTAGATCTATATTTGACTACCTAGATCTATATTTGATTACCTATAGATCTAGGGTAATAAAACGACGAGTTTTTGAAAAACAATCGTTTTTAAAAAATGGTCGTTTTTAGAACGATCGTTTTTCAAAACGTTATAAAGCTCGTCGTTTTATTATCGATCGTTTACGACTACCCTTCGTTAACGACGAATCTTCGTTAACTATTGTTAACGACGAACGATCTATAATTGACTAGCTGGATCATTATTTTCTACCTGAATCTATTTCTTCATGGAGCTTTCTTAAAGTAAAGCGTCCAGAGCCGAATTTAAAGAATTTGATCCGCGGCTTAAATTTAAGACGCGTCTCACATATGGTGGGTTTCACGTAAAAGTGTATTTAATGTTTCAAGATTTAAGCCGGTGCTCAATTTAAACCGGTTTTTGGCAGATTTGAGACGCTGCTCAAATTTATTAAATTCGGACACAGTATAATATTAAGTTAGTATTATCAGAAAGTCAAAATTAAATTATTATTTTATTCTGGCAAAGGTTTAAACAAGTGGTTTTACGCCTGCTCCTGCCATCTTGATGTACTGAAAGAAATATGTTTAAAATTTCTATTATTACTATTAGATTAACAGATCAATTGTTTACAAGATTGAATATCAAATTGCTTAAAGTTTAGTTCAGTTTGCCCGTGTGTGCGTGATGTGGAGTTACCTCCTAGCTGTATACTGCGCCCTGCTTCAGGGACTACAGGCTGATGAGAGGATCATCGGAGGGATGGTCGTTGAAGGAGAAGAAAGGTCAGAAAACGACCCCATTCCCACACCATGATGGATCAAAAAATGTTTACGATTAACCACAATAACGACGGAAACATCAACGAAAAAAAAATCCTAGACAAAAGAATTGGCTTGATTTTTGAGCGGAATTGCGCAGTTTTGCGTCAAAAATTTTACTTTCCGTGGATTTCAGTGTTATCGAATCGGGAGAAAAATCCTCGAAATTCACTTAACATCTCATTTCTCTCAGTGAACACTTTATACAGAGGTTTGCACATTTTGAGGAACAAATTTGAGTAGTCAAAAGGGTTAGTTTACATCCTAAACTAAAATATGGTGGATTTTTGCATTTCAATGCTGAAGCCTATAATCCCAATTGTAATGTCTAAACGATCTAAACTTTATGATTACGGTATCTCCGACCATGAAAGTGTAATCATGCAAATATCTTATCTAAGGTTGGAACTTTTATGTTGAGTATCATTAATCCTGAACTCTTGATCTCGATATATAATGTAGTCACTTGTGAATTTGAGAAGAAACAATCCAAATAAAAGTTATCCCTGAGTCTAAAACTAAAGGATGCGCGAATTTTAAGTTCGAGGTTAAAAGTTCTGTAAAATAATGAATAGCTACTTAAATATTAAACTTTCTCAATTTTAAATTTGAATTTCCCGGGAAAATCTGAACCAATCAGAGAAAAGGATTTACGGAGAATATTACATAACCATCGCTAATCAGCTGATTACGTAACGGAAAACAAACCATATTTCGAGTTACAACCGTTTTTTGGGTTTACATGCAAAAATTAATTAATCTAAAACGTGAAATTTCTTTAACAAGGTTTTCACTTTTAAATATATCGTAAAGTTGAATGCCACTTTCTCAGCTGAATGATGATTGAATAATAGACAAATAGGGAAAATGCAGGATTTCAAGATTTTAGACTCTGCAGTGTTTAAATTTTAACTCGTCGATTTCGGCGAGGTAAATATTTAACCACAGGGTTAAATATTTAACCCTGTGGTTAATTATTTTTCGATGTTTTTATGTTGAAAAAGAAAATGTCAAAAACCATAAAACTATGGACTAGGAAACCGACATTCAATCAATATTCACAGTGTAGTTGGTGTTCGTACAAAGAAAATCGTTTTATCAGTAGTTTAAAAATCAAGTAAAATGGTCTTTGCACACTGCACAATTACTGTGTCTCATTGTACACGGGACGATTTAAAATGATAAAGTTAGTTTAGAAGTCGTCTTCCTATTCCAGAATTTTCCAGTTATATTTAGACCACCGTTCATGGCTGTATTCAACTTTCAACCCAGTTCCTCTGTAAAGTGCACTAGTTCCATTATATCATCTCAGTGGATAGTTTCAGCAGGGATTCAACATTTTAAACTAATTAATGTGGACAATTTTTGTTTTATTTTATGTTCTTATGATAATGTGCATAAAGCAGTAACATGTTAAACATGGAGTAAAAGTCGTCTTTCTCATAACAAGTCGATAGTTATTGTTTTCGAAATTTACATAAAAGCAGAAAATTTGACCCAAACAAGTTTATTGTTAAAGACCCATACAAATGGAAATTACAAAAGATATTAAACACACTTTCAGAAAACCACACTTTTAATACAGTGATAATCCAGACATAGTGAAATTATTGTCGTCTTACTTGTAACTTTTATAAAACTTTTCACATTGCCTTTAAAATTATTTAATTGATATAACTTTTTAAAAAATCGGTTGCAAATTAATTAGCAACAATTTAAATTAAAAGAAAGAAAAAAAGAAAACAATCACTTTTAAATTTATTTAATCTTATAACACAGAAATATGATTAAAGTGAAAAATATTTGAATGGTTCAGCACATTGTATTGTGAGTAAGGAGCATATAATGGATGGATCCTGTTTGAAGAACTACAAAGCAGCAAAGGAATATATTTAATTAATCAAATAATTTAATTTATAGCAAAGGTGCGACCTCGTAGCTCCTCTAGTTTGTATTTACGAACAAGAGAAGGTGCGACCTCGTAGCTCCTCTAGTTTGTATTTACGAACAAGAGAAGGTGCCACTATTTGTCTTATAAATCATTGACTTACACTCATTTTGCTGACACATCATTTGTCCTACAATCCTTTGACCTACAAATCATTTTTTCTGCAGTCATTTGTCCTACATGGCTACAATTGCTATTGTAAAACTAATTAGATATGTTTTAATATGTTTTGATATTTGTTGTGTACATGTCAGAAAATTACTTTAAACTCTAATTATTCTAATAAATGTATAAACTAATTTACATAAGATAAAATCACACTCTGATCTCTAATAGTTCTTTTTAAATCTATTTAATGTTTTGTTATCATTATTGAAATTAGGTGGAAAAAAAGCAAAACAGACAAGAGCTATTTTTCACCTAATTACTTTATACTTGTACTGTTAAAATAATCATTATAATTTGTAATTGTAAACTCGTTCTGTACACAGATACATGAAATAAACTTTATCTAACTATCTAATCATTTGTCCTAGAGAGAGGAAAACATCATTTGTCCTGCAACACTTCATGTGTCCTAAAATAATTTTTTCTACACTCATTTGTCCTACACTCATTTGGCCTACACTCATTTGTCCTACACTCATTTGGCCTACACTCTTTTGTCCTACACTCATTTGGCCTACACTCATTTGGCCTACACTCATTTGTCCTACACTCATTTGTCCTACACTCATTTGTCCTACACTTATTTTTCCTACACTCATTTGTCCTACACTCATTTTTCCTACACTGTTTGTTCTGCACATCATTTGTCCTACACTTAATTTGTCCTACACTTATTTGTCCTACACTCATTTGTCCTACACTCATTTGTCCTACACTCATTTTTCCTACACATCATTTGTCCTAAACATCATTAGTCCTACACTCGTCTGTCCTACACTCATTTGTCCTACACTCATTTGTCCTACACTCATTTGTGCTACACTAGTTTGTCTTATTTGTGCTACACTAATTTTCCTACACTTATTTGTCCTACACTCATTTGTCCTACACTTATTTGTCCTACACTTTTTTATCCTAATCATCATTTGTCTTACACATTATTTGTCCGACACATCATTTGTCCGACAATTTATTGTGATTAAAATATATCACTTGATGTAGAAATATTGTTTAATATTTGTTTATTATTTATATTTGTTAGACATATATGAGTTTAAATGAATATATATTAGTTTAAAACTGTGTGTGAACTGCAGCCAAATGGTGATATGAAACTCATTTTTCCAGAACAAGCTGAACCTTCACCAGAGGTAATAATTTGGCTCAATTCTAGAATAGTTTGGCTCAATTCTAGAATATTTTGACTCAAATTTAGAATAATTGGCTCAATTCTAGAATAATTTGGCCCAGACATAAAATAGCTTAACTCAAAATTAGAATAATTTGGCTCAATTTTAGAATAATTTAGCTCTATCTTAGGACAATTTGGCTCAATTTTTAAATAATTTGGCTCTATCCTAGAATGATTTGGCTTACTTATAAAGTATTTTAGATCAATTCTAGAATGATTTGGCTCAGTTTTAATATAATTTGACTTATTCCATTTTTTAGAGAGACAATCTTTAATTTCATTAATCAACATTAACTCTTTTTTTGTTCGTTTTAAATTCTAAAAACACCATTCCTGGTGCACTTAACCCTAGTGATATCATAACAAAGGGAAATCCAGCAGGGCTATTGGAATTTCATGAAGAAAGACATAGCAGACATGCCTCTTACTTCTTATGAAGACCTAAGGTTAACAGCTGAAGACCTTGATGACATGAAAGCTGAAATTACTGAACATGTTCCATTTGGAGTTAAGAATGCAAATATCCTACTCATATATACATATGGTATTGGTCTTACATAACAAAATCTGTAGTTATGCTTCCGCTTCAGTGTTAGCACCTGGAAGTAGGTCATCAACATATGAAGAATTCAGCAGAACTTGGCTTCCAGACGGGGTAGGAAGCCATGTTCTCCAGACCAATCTTTCTCAACGCATATATTCAATTTCATAATTTTCAATGAAATTACAGAAACAAGAAATAAATAAAATTTGTTACTCTCTCCTTAACTGAAATATATGAACGATCCTTTAAAACAATCTACCTGATTATATTAAGGTTTATGTTGGCGTGGATGATCTAAGTGCCCAGTTTAAAGATGAAACTAAAAAGTTCCTCCTGGATTATATTATCAGTCATAAAGATGGTTACAAAGGTAGTGTCTTATTTTCTACCAGCTGGAGAACACAGCGTTGCCCAGGTTTATTTTAATATTCATAGCCATAGATTTCCCGCCAATTTAGTCCAGAAAATTATTCGTCGTATACTGTAACACGTTCTTTATTTAGCTTCCCTCTTTTCGTTTTTTTAATGAACCGGAGAGGGAGGGAATCCCCGGCCACCATGCAGACACGAGCCTCCCAGATTTGCTATTCAGTACGAGCCTCCGCTTACAGCACAGCTTTTATATAACTCTTGGTTTTTACATGATAAATTTTTACATTTTTTTGGCACAAGAATTTTACTGTTAATTTATTGTCATGGTTTGTAACGTAAATTGACTCATAAAGAGGTTTATGAGATTTATATTTTACAGAAAACATTTCTTACGCAGAAAAAAAGGCTTTTTGGAAATTCATTTTATATTGAAATTAGTTTATTTTGTTTTAATCTTTGAGCAATACCTTTTTTGGGGATATTTTTAAAGTTTTCAGATTATTTGTGTCAATGTCAAATTGTTAATCACCTTAATCTGATAAAAATTTAAATAAATGTATCACTTAACTTAAAGATTATAAATATGAAAAAAAATTCAAAATTTTATGTGTAAAAACTGTTTCAAGTTTTGAAAAATACAACAAATCTTAACTACATATAAAAACCAAGAGTTTTAAGGAAGCTATATAGCATAGGCTCGTTTACTATATAGCGGAGGCTCTTACTGCATGGCGTAGGCTCGTGTCTTCATGGCGGGGGCTCATGACGGCAATGGGTTATCTCCCACGACCCACACATTAACATTAAATGTAAGCTATATTTTTTGTTTTGTCTGCTCTTTTCATTAGCTTAGTATTCGTGTAAAACTGTCAAAAAGATTTTTTGAAAAAAAAAGTCCTAAAAGGATTTGAGTCTTTGCCACAATCTTAGAATTTCTAATCCCTATACCTTAGATATTTCAAACTAAGAATTCTGGAAGTTCAAATAATCTAAGTTTGAAATATCAAAGATTTACGCCATCAAGTTGCTAAGATATAAGGATTAGAAAATTTGAGTTTGTGACAAAGACTCAGTTCCTTTGGCACCAAAAAAGTTCTTTGAATATTTGTGAAAAAAGCATGATATGATACACTATGAAAAAAAGTCCTGGTTGTAAACCTTTCTTAGGACTTTTTTCTGCAGACTTGCGGTTTTTTATCTAGGTTTTCTTTTCCACAGACATATTTTCTCCAGGAATTTGATGCCTGTGATTTTGTTTAATGAGACTTTATTGTCAGGCAATGGTAGCCATATCATTTTAGAAGAAAAGTCCCAGGAATCTAAAACACAGGATTTTATTTCCAGTTACATTTTTTCTAGGAACTTTTAACTAGGTTTTTATTTTCCAATTTTTTTTCAGAAACTTTTTCCCGTCATTTTCTTACATAGATTCTTACCAAAAAACTAATCTCACAAATAGGAGATGATTCATTTTGTGTACTTAGAGATTGGAACAAAGCTTTATGGACAAAGAGCTCCTCCGGATACAATATACAAAACCTTTATAAAAAAACTAAATTTTTTTTATTAGATTGACTGAAAGAAATAGAAGATCACAGTTGAAGATTAAAGTTATAAACAGTGTTGAAATTTAGAGTAAATCTTTAAAAACTTCAACCACAGAATAGGGATTAGATAAAACAGTGTTAGATGGCAGTCATAAAATATAAATAATGTCATGAGTATTGGGCTCGTCAGGCTAGTTTAGCAGTTTTGTCTATGGGTGTACTGTTCAGTTTAAGATATTCGAAATTACATAAATTTTGTTTGATATTGCTAAATAATGTTAAGGATATGAAAATTTGTAAGAAATCTTAACTATTCTGTTCATAACTTTGAACAATATCTTTGTGGTATTTCGATATTTAACCCTATTCCTGCTGGGGGTTGCAAATTTTTTTTGCAGATTCTAAAAGTAGAGCACAAGAGCTTTCCAATGATTTATCATTTGTCATATTTGGACATCAAACATGGGATTTAGAGGGGGGGGGTCAAATTGACCCCCCCCCAGCATATCCTGGTTTTCAAGTACCCCAGCAGAGATAGGGTTAAATAATTTTACATTTAATAACAAGTAAATCTTAAAAGGTGAATACATTTTAGGAGGTAAATATGGTGCATATGGAGGTTATGATGTCATACTACTTAAAACAAGGAAAAAAATTGATTTAAAACTCAAGGTGATAAAATAATTTAATTTCTTGCAAACTGGTGGGCAACCCAAACATATGCTTTTATCAAGGCTTGTTTGCCTGGACCTGACTTTGTGTATGATGACCCCAAGATAGGGGGATATGGTCGGTATAGACGAGTGCCCTGTGAAGTCAATGATTTGGGCCCCAATGTTTATCAGGTGCTTTAATCATAAACTGCTGTTGATGTTTTATCCAGGAAAATTACAAAATAAAATAATATTTTTTTAGTTTAATTTTATTGATTTAAACAAATTATGTTCATTTATTGTTTCTTGCTTTGTCAAAAGTCAAGGTATTTAACTTAAGGCTATGCTTAAAGCAGCAGATCAAATAAAGCCTTCTGAAGTTATGTTTGTTACATTTTAATGAAACTATGGTCGTCAGTAAGGTCGCAACCTAAAATACACTTTATATTGAATTTGAATATCAAATTTATTATTTTAGTTTTGCAAGGTGGACACTAGTTGTGATTACAAATCTAAGAGCTTTAAACAAGCAAAGTGTGACGTTAAATTCAATTATGAGAATAAGGTAACTTTTGGGATTGATATTTGGGATTGACATTTCCAAAGTAGATTTTGGATAAAATTATTTACAACTGCTTTACATGAAAGTTAGGGGAACTTTACTTTAAAGGGAGTGACCGGCAATGTATGGCAGTTGAACTGAGAATGAAGTTTTGTGGAGAATTTTTTTAGAATTCATTTAAGACATATAAAACGTTTTAATGATGTATAACTTCTGAGTTTTTTAATGATTTTTTAAAAATCGATTCTCAAAATTTGTTTGTAGATTTCTTTAAATTCTTCTAATGACGTCTTTTCAATAAAATTTCCGGGAAATCTACAGAAAACGTTTTGTGAACAATGAGACATTAAAGAAACAAATAACTGAATAAGATTCTTATTTTTGATAATAAGAGTCCATTTTTATTTTCTCAACCTGTTCCTGAACAGCTGATTGGTTTACTTTAGAATTTTGTTACATTTTTGGTCGACGTAACCACCCAAATGGATGATTTTGAAAGTCAACTTTGCGCTCAAACTCAGTAATTATACATCATTAAAACGTTTTATATGTTTCAAATGAATCCTAAAATTTCTCCACAATACTACATTCTAAATTTAACTACCATACATTGCCGGTCACTCTCTTTAACAAGAATTGTTGCCTACAAAACTTCATAAGAGCTGGCATGTCGGATTCACAATGGTTACATCTGTTAATTTTCTCCAAACAGTGGTAATGCAGAAGGTTTGTATTAACCCTAAACAGGCTGGAAGGGCCCCCCACCCCCCTGTAGTTTTTTGTCCCGACACTCTCATTCTTGACACTTTCATCGTGAAAGGAATTGAGTCTTTGCCACCAACTCAAATTTTCTAATCCCTATATCTATGGAACTTGATGTTGTAGACTTTTGATATTTTAAACTAAAATAATTTGATGCAACAGAATTCATAGTTTGAAATTTCTAAGGTCTACGACATTGGGTTGCAGAGATTTAGGAATTAGAAAATCAGAGTTTGTGTCAAAGACTCAATTCCTTTGTGACTTTTCATGAAAAATAAAGGATCTTTTGTAAAAAATCTGATCTTTCGGGGAAAAAAATAATAAATAGCCCATAACTTTTTTATGACTAAAGCTACATACCTAAAAACTATATTTCTGAAAAGCCCTTAAAAAACGGATATAGAAACATGTGTCACACTTTAATATTTGTTTAAAACAAAAACAAAAATATTTTGAACCTTTTTTTGGCGTTTTTATCAACCGTCCATAACACTCAAACTATTAAAGTTATCGGTCTAACTTATTTTTAATGAGCTGGCCTTGGCAAATTGGGCTATGCACAAGCATTTCAACCCTATATCTTTTCNACTAATTCTCTAAGGCCTTTTTCTAGAGGGGGGGGGGTGCCAAACGCCAAACTAGGGTTTCCAACTAGTCCTGCGTTCAAACTAAGCCTGTGTTCAAACTAGGGTTTCCAACTAGTCCTGTGTTCAAACTAGGGTTTCCAACTAGTCCTGTTTCCAATTAGTCTTGTGTTCAAACTAGGGTTTCCAATTAGTCTTGTGTTCAAACTAAGGTTTCCTACCAGTCCTGTGTTCAAACTAGGGTTTCCAACTAGTCCTGTGTTCAAACTAAGGTTTCCAACTAGTCTTGTGTTCAAACTACAGTTTCCAACTAGTCTTGTGTTCAAACTACAGTTTCCAACTAGTCTTGTGTTCAAACTACAGTTTCCAACTAGTCTTGTGTTCAAACTAGGGTTTTCAACGAAAGCGCACTTTACTTGCGCATAGCGCATTGCGGGCCATGAAATAGCCTTACTATTTCGTGTAATTCCGCGAAATTTCGAGCTATTCCGCGTAATTCCGCGAAATTCGGGAACAGTTGTGCGCAATTCCGCGCAACGGAATTCCAATTAGAAACCCTAGTTCAAACCATTATATTTTAGGAAAAGGTTGGCTGTATACGAGATGAGGATACACTAAAGTCCTGTATTGATATTTAAACCAACGTAATTTAGGAAAAGGTTTGCTGTATACGAGATGAGGATACACTAAAGTCCTGTATTGATATTTAAACCAACGTATCTTAGGAAAAGGTTGGCTGTATACGAGATGAGGATACACTATAAGTCCTGACCGTGATATTTAAACCAACGTATTTTAGGAAAAGGTTGGATGTATAAAAGATGAGGATACACTAAAGTCCTGTATTGATATTTAAACCAATGTATTTTAGGAAAAGGTTGGATGTAAAAAAGATGAGGATACACTATAAGTCCTGTATTGATATTTAAACCAACGTATTTTAGGAAAAGGTTGGATGTATAAAAGATGAGGATACACCTAGCTCTAAAAATCCAGGTTGTTTGGACTTCAGAGCTAAAACTTCAATGTCAGATAAAGAAATGACAAGGTACATAGGTGTGGTCTATAGAACTACAAAAAAAGTCACTATACAAAAAGATATGCACATGCCACATAGCTTCAATCATTGGATGATTTGCGCCGGTACAAGGATTTATCGGTACATGTAACGTTTACTGTAAATACATTCACTTGTAACAACTGATGGGTATGGTTACGAGGCCCATTAAAAAAAGTTGTTAGGCTTTTTAAAAGCATCACAAAAATCTGAGATACAAAATTTTTTTTAAAATTAGACAGGTATGCTTTTATTACATAAAACACAATTTTTACTTTGACCAAAGATATTGAGAAAATCGATCTTTTAGATTAGAAAATAGAAAACGATTTTACTAATTGTTATGAACAATCGTTTTGGTTAATTTTTTAAATTAGAGTAAAAATTTTGTTATGTGTAATAAATGCAAACTTAACTAGCAAGCAATTTTGAAATAGGATTTGAATAACAGATTCTTGTAAAGCCTTTACAAGCCTAAAAACAACTTTGAATGTTTAAAAACGTGCCTCAAAACAATGCCCTGCAGTTTCCGTAACGACCCAGGACGTTTTATACAACAAAAATAGAATGGCAAGATCTACATGGTGCCCCAATAAACATGGGAATTCAGTGACAAATTCGATATCGTCTTTTTAAATAATTATTTGATTTAGTATAGTGATACCTACTGAGAAAGCTTGAAATCTGTAAGAGTTTTGTCTGCTATATGTTCACATTTTGTTTGTTTATGTTTTGACTGCATACGGTTGTAGTACTTAGTAAAACAAGAAAATTGCAGTATAAAAACAGAGTAAACTTGTCAGGCTTCACTGTTCATCTTGCGGTGACATTATAGAAACATCTTTACAGTCTTTTACCGTTTTCATAAAATAAACTCCAGCAGACATAATAATATTATGGCTTTTGAAATTAGGTTTTACAATGCTAATTCATAACAAAGACGATATCGAATTCGTCACTGAATTCCCATGTAATATTAATCAAAAACTTGTTATTTTCAATTGATATTGGTGTTTTTGATTTTATTAATATTACAGAGTCTGAATTTAATGAATTTGAGCCGCGTCTGAAATCCACCAAAAACCGGTTTTAATTGAGCGCCGGCTTAAATCTTGAAAAATTCAATACAATTTTAAGGGAAACTAACCATATTTGAGCCGCGTCTTAAATCTAACTAAACTACCTACCGCTGGTTCAAATCCTTGATCACCGATTCAACATCTCATCTTTATCTTTCAATGGGTGATAGAGGATTTAAACCGACTCGTGGTAGGCAGTTCAGCGAACTCTCTTCCATTAATTAATTCAAGCCCTAGATTCAAAATTTGTCTATATTTACAGTGTAAAACAATTACTTGTTTGGATACAATCTTATGTGATCTATATTTTTGTTTAGGAAAAATATAACTGAGATTGTTATTTTTGCTCCTGGGGCAGCAACAGTGGTAACTAAATGTTATACGTAAGTAAGCATACTATCTTAAAATCTGATTTTCCAATCCCTATATCTTTGCAACTCTTTGTTGTAGACCTGAGATATTGCAAACTTTTAATTCGGCCAGATAAACTAATTTAAGTTTGAAATACCAAAGGTTTAAACCATCTGGTTGCAAATATATAGGAACTATATATAATTTGATTTTGTGGCAAAGACTCAATTCCTTTAATGCTATTAAAGTAGTTTGTTTAAGAATTGATCTAATAGAAAATGCAATTAATTGCTCAACATTTGTCAACGCTGTTTCAGATAGCAATCCAGTTGGGTACAAGTAGATAAGTCAAAATTGGCACTTTCAAGTTTTTAACTGTGAAATTAAACACAATTAATTTAAAACTAAAAGTCCTCCTCAATGAAGTAAATACCAGAGTTCGGAAATGTTGTTTGGAGTTTTCTTAATCTTGAATTCTTGATCTCGATATCCAATGTTGACACTTTCAAATGTGAAGATCAACGCCACAAGGATCCAGGCTGCTATGTAAAGTTGCATCAATTTTCCGGACTTGGTCAATTTTCAAGTGTCACAACGCCTTTGATTTTACCTCACCAACTAACTTAAAATTTTGTTTATCACTAAACATGCACATTTTAGAACAATACAACACTAATTTCAGTTGCGAGCTGGCATCGGCATGGTTAGGACATAGAAAATCCAGTGCGCTGCTCTAAGTAGCCGGAGCTTCTATTCAGCTGTGGAGCGCTGAGCAAAATTGAAACATGGCGGCACCACACCTTAAAAACAAACAGTACAGATGGCCAGAAACAAGAAAAAGAGAAATATAGAAAGAAGAATCCTGAGAGGTTTGTAACCATGGCAATAAGATGCCGATTTTTTACTCTACTGGCTGGGATACTCTGCCGACTATGAAGAACAGACTACTGTGGAAAATGCCACATTCAGAGCCACAAAACTAACAACTCCCCATTTTGTAATAAGGTGTAACTCCAATAAGAAAAAACCCTTGAATTTTGCAGAGGGGGAAGTAATTAAAAATCGGAAGAAAGTAAGGATTTTCTATGCTATGGGAGTCCCTCTATACCCTCCCTTCCTGACCTACTTCAAAATTCCAACTCCTACGCCACAACCCTTCCTTTTTTGTCACAAACAGCATTCTGAAGTGATTTCTTAGTTGGCAAATGTTGTGAGCTCCATTGTAAAGACCACTAGGCGTAACCAGGATTTAGACATGGAACTCAAAATAAAATTGCAGAAACCTACAAACAAGAAACAAGAAGAAAAAATAAAATTTAACAGGAAAATAGAAGGGAACTCTCCAATGATAAGCTTTACACTATCAATTTATCCCATTGGCAAATGGAGACATTATTAAAGATGGGACTGGAGACGTTAAACTTGAAAGAAAATACTCTATGAATATGTGTTGAATGCTGATTCAGCCCTGATCAGCTAGTTGTTGAGGCAGGCATGCTTAGAATAGACAATTACAATTGAGCGTTTACGAAAATTCTGGTTTTTGACAATTTTTTCTTCTTCTCAAAGTTATCAGAATCAGGGACAGTCAAAAGAGAATGGAATAACAGGAAGAAGGTGGGAATCCATGACAAGAAGAAGAATCAAATCAGAACTTTTCTGTATCAACTGTATCCAATTTATAAGATTAAAAATTCAAAAATAATAAATTGTTAAAAAGTACAGACTCATTTTTAGCTTTAGTTTTTATGAAGTTATTGGCTAAATTCTCATAGATTTTTGCTTGAAACCTTTGGATCACTGTGAAGCTTAAAATCTTCATTTTAGTTATCCCTGTAGTGTATGACTGACACAGGATGGATATCCATGTTTGATCCCAAGCGGGGGCCTATTCCGGAATTTGTCCAGGGGGGCTTAAAGTTGTTTTCTTTCTGCCTCTGATCCCGAGATTCATAACAAAAAAGTTCTGACTTTTATTAGTAAAATCTTATCCATATGCATGTTTAGAAATGACCCTGGAAAATATGGATGGTGTGGAATAACAAATAATTTAGTTGATGGAAAAACAAAAGCTGTTGAGGTGACAGAAAATTATTAACATTGTTTCACTACATGAGTAACACATTCTAAAATAATTATAATCTTATAAAGTTTGGGTCTATATGTAGGGTTGTTAATCGTTTTTGAAAATGATTGTTAAATAATCGTTTTTTGTTTCATTTTTCAATCGTTTTTAAGAATGATTGTTTCGTCTTTGGGACAAAACAATTGTTTTTTTAAAACGATTTGCAACAGTTTTTTATATGCTTGTTTTTTAAAAACAATTTCTTTTGAAAAAAACAATCGTTTTTGAAAAAAAATTTTATTGACAATTATGTTAACAATCATTAACAAAGGGTCGTGGTTAACGATCATTAACAAAGGGTTGTCGTTAATGATCGTTAACAAAATGACAAACTTTATAAAAAACAGTCGTTGTTGGAAAGCAATTGTTTTTGAAAAAAAATTACATGCACTTTTATTGAATGTTTTCTTACATGAAGTTAAAAAGTTGTGGGGGAGCTAAAACTTCATGATAATTTCTTAAAAACTATTTAATCTTTAACGAAGGTATCGTCGTTAACGAAGGTTCGTGGTTAATGATAGTTAACAAAGGGTCGTCAGTAACGATAGTTAACAAAACAACGATTTTTATAAAAACGTTATTAAAAACGATAATTTTTCAAAACTTCATTTTCATATTGAAATGATCGTTTTTCAAAAAAATTAAAACGTTAACATCCCTATGACTACATGTAGTAAACACCATACTGTTAAAACTTAGTCCAGAACTTTATCAGTCCAGGTAAAATGTACTTGTCAGCTATAAATATAAAATGTCAATTCTTCAGCGTTGAATGTTGCACAGGGACATAAGTGTTGCTATCAAACAAGCTCTAAAGCAATCAATGCCAAACCAATGGGCACAATGTAATCGGCTCTAAATGTCACACAGGGACACAAGCATGGCTATCAAACAAGCTCTTAATGTGTCAATGCTAAATCTCTAGGCATGATCGCAGCTTGTATGTTTCATGGAGGACCATAATTACTCCCAACACTGTAATCAAAGCGGAGTCTCAACCAACTAATGTGTATTCACAAGTATATGTTTCATGTTAAGATATATGTTTCAACAAGGACCAACATTACTCTGAACACTGTAATCAAAAGGGAGTCTCAACCAACTAATGTGTATTCACAAGTATATCTTACATATTAAATTTTTATATGTATTTAGAATACATGCACAGAAATATATTATCATAGTTAATCTAATCACAATATGTAGCTAGTCTAGTCACATTACAAGTTTTGCGTATTTAAGGATTAGCGCAGTTAGATTTATAGACAATGTACAACGCAATTTATATAGGTATGTTTAAACTGTATTTATTACATTTATATAGATATTGACTAGCTAACCTTACTCCTGTTGGGTTGATTTCTTCAGGCTATGTGTATTTACGGATATCACCACGTTAATCTTACTTATTTTGAGTTTAGCCCTTCAAGCTAAGTGTCTGTATGGGTAATCTACTTTCTAACCTTTCTAATTTTTGTGTTTTTATGGGTATAACTTCACTATTATCACTTATTATGGGTTTATTCCTTCAGACTAAGTGTCTACATATATGGGTATCACCAGGCTCATCTTACTTATCTTAAGTTCATTCCTTCAGAGTAAGTGTGTGTATGGAAATCGACTTTCTAACCTATACAAGGTTTGGTTCATTCCTTCAGGCTAAGTTTTTTTTTATGGGAATCTGTACCCTCTAAACTTTCTAAGATTTGGTTAATTTCTTCAGGCAAAGTGTTTTATGGGTATAGTGAATTTGATTTTGAGAATATCAAATTATTTCACTGAGCAATATATCATATTGACGAGAACTGAAGAATGACATGAGAAGGACTAAACTAACTTAAAATTCTTTTTACAGATCTCATGTACACCACAAGTACTCAATGACATAAGAACAGCCAATATTCACAACCGACCTGATGTTAATCTACAGGGTTTCCCACGAAACATGACATTTAAAAAATCGTTATTTTTAGTTAAAACATCCTTTTGCTGCATTATCTTTTACTTGAAATCAATTTTAATATAACATGACTCTCATATAATATTTTTATTGATCTTTGGTACCAAACAACTCAACAAATCATGGAAAAAGACATTCTAAACTATTCACCAACTGTTATGTTTCGTGGGACATCCTGTATATAATAGGAATATCTTTAAAACATCTCTGTACATTTATAGATGAAAAATGTCGTCTTATGCGCAATCTATCTTTATCTATGGGTTATCCGTTCAGACATGGATACAGCCTTGATAATCTTACTTATTATGTGTTTATCCCTTCATTGCGAGCGTCATTATGGATATCACCACGCTAAATTTTTCGGCAATTAAATTTTATCATTTTTTGTACATTTCTTTTATGCAAATATTTTTACTTTATAACTGGATTTTGCAAAAAATATCTATTCGCAAATTTGTTTGCAGAGAATATATGCGTCGAAAAAAAATCGATGACTATTGTTTGTAATATCTGAAAGATTTATTTGGAATTAAATTTAATAATTTACGATCCGAGTAGAATGTTGCAACTTTCGGAATTTGTATGGACGCTACGTTCTTCGGTATGAGTAGTTTTTTACAAATTTATCCTTATAGACGCAACAGATAGAAGATTAGTAGCGATCAAAAGCGCTTATTTATTGTTTTAAGCCTATACCCCCTTTAATTTTTCGCGAACACTCCCTTTAAGTCCCTCAATATCAGTCTTTGTAAGTGTAAGTGGTAAATCGTATCTTACGGATTTTAAATTTGACGTTTTTTTAGATTTAAACAAACAAGCAAAGTACATATATAGATACAAGGGGATATTTTGTATTTAGGACATAAGTGTAAGTCCTGACAAAGGTTGGGGAGTGTGCAGTGATACCTGCGAAGATGAAGAAAATTTTTCTATCACAGGTTTGTTTTTGTACCTTTTGTTTGATAACAAGATGGCTATGCCCTAACCACACTGGAGCAGGCCTTCCCTTAAGCATTTATGATCAATAATGTTCTGATAATTCCAATATGTTTTCCTGTACTTAAAATGCTCTAGTCACTTTTTTAGAAAATACACAGTTCAAAATAATCAGCTTTCAAAATGATATTGATATCTAATCAACGAGGTGATAGTGTATAGAGTGATGATGTACGCTAATCCTTTACTAATTGTACACGCCATGTATTATACCGAGAGCGTACTGCATATTTGTTTATTATAATTTGATTCTGGCCTAACCTATAGTATATCATTATTGGTAAACATTTGCAAGTGTACAGTTCAGCTAATTAAGCACACAGGTAGGAAACTATCATCCCCCCTGGATCCCCCCTGGGACTTGGTCAGACGGACCTTTCAATATGGCATTGCAATTTTTGCATAACTTAAACATTTTAAAATCCTGACTATGAATGTATATCATCAATCAATCTGTTCAGGAAAAGCTCGTGTGAAGCATGTTCAAATCATTGACCAAACATATTGTGATCAAGAACTTAACAAAATTAGGAAAGGAAGAGAACCCTTTATAGTTGAGCCAAAGGTAGGCAGTTTTTATTTCGGCAGTATATATTTTACATAATTTTGAATCCAGGGGACAGGAACTATTGACAATATTTTAAAGGACTCTCTTTCAAAAGTTAATTATTTTCAGTTATGGTGCATCTTTAGAAAAACTTGCGCATTTCTGCTTCAGAAAAAAATCTGAAGAAGTTGTTATAGATAAAAACTTTTAAAGCTAGAAAATCTATTATATCCTTCTAATATTCATAAGATAAAGATTTAAGTGGAGCCACTGTAAATTTGACAAGTCCATCTTCAAATGAAGGGTCAATTAAAATTACATCAGCAATCCCTGTATAAAAAAAGATTAAAGATCGTTTAAAGACAATATTTTATTTTCAAAATAAAATTAGTAAGACCTTGAACAGATTTTAAGAACTATAATATTGATAAACGCGCACATATTTACATTAATATATGTAAGATAATGTTTTAACAATAAAACTCAATGGATTTCAGGTCTATTGTGTTGCATACAATGAAACTTACAAGACTGCATTTTATGAAAAGGTAAAGCATAAAGTTCTTGGCTATCAATTTTGTATTAGACAAATTTGACAAAATTGCTTGTCTTAACAAATTAATCTCGTCAAAACCTAATTTTTATATCTTTACAATTTGAAATTGTAAACTTCTGACATTGTATACTTTGAACTTTGCAACATCATAGTTTAACTATCAAAGGTCTACAGTATCAGGTTGTGATAAAGGGATTAGAATTACGGAGTTTAAGCCTTCTAAGTCATCCAAGTGTTCAATTGTTATGTGTTACAGGGTGTCCCAAAAAACATGGGAATTCAGTGACGAATTCGATATCGTCTTTGTTATGAATTAGCATCGTAATACCTAATTTCAAAAGCCAAAATATTGTTATGTCTGCTATAGTTTATTTTATGAAAAGGGTAAAAGACTGTTAAGATGTGTCTTTAATGTCTCGCAAGATGAACAGTGAAGACGGACAAGTTTACTCTATTGTATACTTCAATTTTCTTGTTTTTCTAAGTACAACCGTATGCAGTCAAATCATAAACAAACAAAATGTTAACATAGCAGACGAAACTCTTACAGATTACAGCTTTCTCAGTAGGTATCACTATACTAAATCAAAGAATTATTTAAAAAGACGATATCGAATTCGTCCCTGAATTCCCATTTTTATAGGGACACCATGTACCATCGGAACTTTTTAAAAATTAAAAGAACCTTTAATGTCCATAAATACATATAAAACTGTTATTTAAAAAAGATCTAAGAGAAGCAATACTAATATATTTCAGGGTGCAGATGGTAGCTATAAACCTCTGGAAAACAAGGAACAACGTTTTTTATTGTAAAATGGTTACAAAGCGTTTTAAATCCAATAAACCCTAGAAACTGTAAATAAATTATGTTTTCAAGTTTGCAACTAAATTAGTTTTAAATAAAAAAAAATATTTTTAAAGATTTTTATATGTTCAATAGTTTAAGAGGGTGATGTCTAAATTTTTTAAATTTAAAATTTCTTCCAAAACAAATTATTTTGCTTAATGTCTGCCTTGAAACGGTTTAAATAACAATGATTGGTTGTGTAAAGTTAGAGTACCACACTAAACTAGGCAGAACATTTCCCTGGTACATAAGGTAAGCATTGACATCAACAAATTCATATATGTCATGTAATTATAAAAAAAAAAAAACAATATATTCCTGCTTTATAAGCACCGAGCTGAAAACTTTAGAATGAGATACCTCCCGATTACTTAATCTGAGTATCCAATGGACACACTTTTGATTTTTTTCTTAAACCGTTCTTTCTTGGATATAGCAGAGAAAAATCAAAAACCGGTTAAAAAAAAAAAGAGTCCCTCCCGTTTCTGTATATTAATCTTAAATGACGCGCAAAATTTCAAATTTATCGGCTTCATATACGCGACAATGATTGGTTGAATTTTATACACTTAGATTAGTCTCGATATTAAGAAAAAACGAGGATCAAGCATTAATCTCGATATCCACCATCCTAAAGTTTTCAGTTCTGTACGCACAATTTGAGAAAATTTGAAGAATTAGTTTGCTTAGGTATATTGGATGCCGGTGCTCCAAAAAAAAAAGATGAAAATTTGAAACTTCTTAGACCCTCATGCAACGTAACTTGTCACTATTTGAAAAATTAAAAATTATTTATCCCAAAGTACTAATAAAAGGAAAGTTATTTCAGAAGTGTACACATCTTTTGTACTGCAGTGTACTGTCTCTGGGCGGCAATGTAAACACAAGACGGATGTCAAAGCCTGACATGGGATCTATCTTTCACATAAAAAAATCAATGAAATATTCTGGTCATAGGAAACTATTATATGTGAATTATCAAAATTATCAAAATGTAATGCTTTTAACCTCCTCGGATACTAAACGAACAATGATGCATCTATTCTTGTTTACAAATTCCGCCCAAAGAGAACTGGTTTCAATATTTACTCAGAGTATACACGACCGCAATTAACTTTCCTTGCATTACACCCTTGGCAATGCCTGATTTACCCAGGGTCCTCACAATAGAAAATAAAAAGTTTAAATAAACAAAAACATGGCTTCTAATTTTTAATAAATGAGAAAAATCTTTCAAGGTAACAGTTGCAAACCAGGCAGTGCCATCTTTGCATGGAAGGTCACTTGGAATTGCGTTTCCGGTGCTTTTAACCCATTTTTATTTTAATAAAAATCTATTTTATTCTGCAGAGCTACCGGAAGTTGCAGGGGTGACTCAGGAGGTCCACTTTATGAAAAGGTGATCAAATTATTATCACTTTTTTGGGAGATATCCGTCCATTTCAGATATGTATTTTTTGTTTGTTTGCTTTATGAAAACTATTAAAACATGAATATTCCTAAAATTCAGTTGGTTGGATTTTGTACATTAAAGTAAAGGTGCTGAAATCAGTTTGTTATTATTTTGAGCATATTTCAGGTCCAGAACAAGCTTTAAATAATAAAAGTATATTTACTTCATCAAACAAAGGAACTGATTATTTTTTACAAATTCAAATATCTACAAGGTGTCTTAAAAAACGGTGAATGAAGGTGTCTAAAGACTCGTTTATTATTGGATTTTCAAGATTGAGACCATTTTTAAATCTAAGTATAATGTTCAATTCAATGAGCTTAGTTTTAGACCTGTAGATCTAAAAATTACAATTTTATAGGCTCCTAAAGTTTCCAACTGGAGTGAGTAAAGCTCCTAAAGTTTTCAATTAGTGTGAGTAAAGTTCCTAAAGTTTCCAACTGGAGTGAGTAAAGCTCCTAAAGTTTCCAACTGGAGTGAGTAAAGCTCCTAAAGTTTCTAACTGTAGTGAGTAAAGCCCCTAAAGTTTCCAACTGGAGTGAGTAAAACTCCTAAAGTTTTCAACTGGAGTGAGTAAAGCTCCTTAAGTTTCCAATTGGAGTGAGTAAATTTGGTAAAAAAAGATAATCTCCGTTTGAACAATTTTGTATGAGGGTCCACACTCTACAGACTTCTTTGTAATTGGATTTTCAAGATTTAGACCATTTTCTAAATTTACGTACAATTTCCAATTTAATGGTTCCATTTTATGCTTGAAATAAAAAAATAACAATTTAATAGGCTCCTAAAGTTTCCAACTGAAGCTAGTAAAAAGTAAAGGATAATCTTCGTTTGCACAATTTTGTATTCAATGTTAGGTTACAGTTTATCACAATTTAGTTTACAGTTTATCACAATTTAGTTTACAGTTTATCACAATTTAGTTTACAGTATACTATTAAAAAGGTCTACTATTAGAAGCAAGACACTTTTAAGCCCTTGATCCAATTTCAAAAATATAGTTTTGTGAGACAGCAGGGTCCAGGGCAGCTATTTTGTCATGATCTTGACCTCATGCAAGTAAAGTGAATGAGTGTTTGTGAGGAGCTTTTACAATTTTTATTTCTAGATCATACAAGCCTAAAATTGAACTAGTTGAATCGGAATGTGTACGTAGATAAAAATGGTCTCAATCTTGAAATTCGATTTCAAACAAGTCTGTACTCTGTATACCATTATACAACATTTTTAGATCTACAAGCCTAAAATTAGGCTAATTGAATTGAAAATTGTACGAATATTTAAAAAATGGTCTCAATCTTGAAAGCAAAGGATTTTGTACTCTGTAGACCCTTATTCCCTGTTTTTTTTTGAGACACTCTGTTTATCTTTGGAACCTGATTGATAGGTCATACTTAAATTATTTGATCTGACAAAATTAATCGTTTGTGATATCAAAGGTCTACAACAACTGGGACTGAATTTATTAAATTTGAGTTCTGTCACCGTATTAACTCCTGCTGGTTCAAATTTGAACCACCACGGATTTAAAGTTAAATAGTACAAGGAAGAATTTGAGTTGGTTATCCCAATCTGAACCGGCGGTAGGCAGTTCAGTAAGTTTAGTCCTGGAGGGATTAACAAATAGGAATTAGTGGCAAGAAATTAGTTCCTTTCTTGTTTTAAAACAAAAATTGAAAACATTTTTTAATCTCATTTTTTCTTTTAATGGAAATGATTTGAAGTTTATTTTAGGAATTTCGAGTTCTTGCCACCAACTTTGATTTTCTAATTAAATTCACATTAAATTACTTTAATGTAAAAATGGAAAGTCGCTCCCGTGTATGTTTATGTGAAAGCATGCACACTGTTAATTGTAGCCTTTTCTAATAAGAGATAACACACATTGTGTATGTAGTATCTCACAGTCAGATTTCACAAAAGAACGCTACCCTTAATATATAATGTAGTTTTTTCTCTCGAACTGCTGCCTTACCAATACTTGAATATAAACTTACCAGCAATCCAGACATGAAAAAACGAAAATAAATGTATCTGTTAAAATTAAATCTCCAACTTATAGATTTATAATTGTATTTACATAGAAAATGTCGTAAGAAAGTTTTGTGTTAAATTCATATTAACAATCCTGTAAACTGTAATGATACGTGAATAAATATCTAGATTTTAAAAAAAGATTTTCTAATCTCTATATCTTTGCAACCCAAAGTTGCAGACCTTAGATATTTCAAACCATAAATTCTGTTAGATCAAATAATTAAAGTTTGAAATATCAAAGTTTTTTTTAGCTTGCTAAAATATCCGGGATTAGAAATGTTGAGTTTGTGGCAAAAACTCAATTCCTTTACTGACAAAAAAGATTTAAATTCATATTTTTATTAATTCTTCTTATTTTTGTTTATGTTTAGAGGGGTGCGGATAATATACTATTAGGAAGTACTAGTCGGGGAACTGGCAGCCTAGAGAACTGCGGGGGTATAGACAACCCAACTCATTATGTCAGGTAAACGTAGTTCAACCACCTCAGCTTGAACCAGTACAGCTTGAACAGTGGTTTTACTATGTCTGAGAGGTTCAGTTATACTTCTGCTATTCTATAAATCTGGTCTCTGGGATGAAACTTTTGTGTGGAGAAGATAATCAGATAACTAATAGAGTGCTATTAACTCCAAAAAAGTGTAAAACCACCATTTTTCTGTACCGTCACCCTACTGCAGGTTTTACCTTTGAGGCTTTGGAACTCTTTTCCAAAAAAACAAAAAATGATTATATTGAAAATTATTTTACAATTGAATATTAAGTCAAATAATCAGTTTATTTCATCTCGACTAGAAATATTAATAATAAGGGAAATTTTTATTTTTTCCACTTTGAATGCTCACACAAATATTAATGTAATTCCTCTTTGATAATGCTTGGAAGTTATACCCTGCGGTTGCAGAGATAACTTCAATTGAGGGAACCTAGAATTAAAAATGCTCACAGTGGATACCAAAATCAAGCATTCTAAATTAATGATACAAAAATTGAAACCACTAAATGTTTAAAAAACGGATGAAAACAATGCTCAACTCTAACATTCTTTTAACAATACACCATAATCACTGAAATTCAGCCCAACTAGTTCTGTTGCATTAAAGAGACGTTGGTTCAACCACATACTGGGTACACTAGACAGGACGTTGGTTTAACCATATACTGGGTACACTAGACAGGATGTTGGTTCAACTACATACTTGGTACACTAGACAGGACGTTGTTTCAACCACATACTGGATACACTAGACAGGACGTTGGTTCAACCACATACTGGGTACACTAGACAGTACGTTGGTTCAACCATATACTGGGTACACTAGACAGGACGTTGGTTCAACCACATACTGGGTACACTAGACAGGACGTTGGTTTAACCACATACTGGGTACACAAGACAGGACGATGAAGAAAAGACTAGAATGGCATTTTTGTACAGGTTCGGATCATGCATTTTTTGAACCAATGTGTATTTAGAATGAAGGATATGATGCCCTGGATATCTGGATATGTTCCTAAAGAAGAACTTTGTATCAAATAAATAATTACACAAATAAATTTCAAATACATTTTTTAAACTCCTACTGAGAAATCTAATACAATTTTACAGTTTTAATTCAGAAATGTGTGGTCTTAAAACTTTTATCTTTCTATTTTCTAATTGTTTTGCTTTATAATGTGTTTAACCTGCAATGTAAGAAAAAATTAGGTTAATTAATTATCAACAACAACCATATGGCGCGACCAGACTTTTTACAGTACCCGGCTTATCATATGTAGGCATATTTTCAGTACCTGGCCTATCATAGGCCTATTTGACCTATCCCAATTAGCTTAGTTTAGTCACAACAAACCAAAATCGGCTGAAACTCGATTATTTACTCCCAGAAGTTGACTTGGACTCGTAAATAGTAGTACCAGAACTCGACTTTAAACTGAGATTTTATACCACTTTTGGACGAGTCTGTATACTACTTATGGACGAGATTTTTCAACTCAGCAAAAACTCAAAATCGAGAAAATGTCTACTTTTAAAGTGGAGTAAAAGTCGACTTATATAGTCAAGAAAAAGTAAACTTTTTAGTCGAGAAAAAGTCGTGCTTTCAAGTCGACTTTAATTCTTGAATAGTCGTTCCTGAACTTGAGCTGAGATTTATACCACTTTTGAACATTTATTTCAAAATTATTATTATTAGCTCTGTAACAGCTGAAAGGTTTTTAATTTAATTTTTGATGGAATCAATTTTTAAGAAATCAAACGTAAATATTTTAGAAAAACAATTTTAAGAAAATCTTATCATTTTGGAAAAAGTTGACGTTTTTTAAGTCAAGTTTAAGTCGACCTGTACAGTCGAGTTTAAGTCAACTTTTTAAGTCGACTTTTATACATGCATATATATTGGCACACCCATACATATTCATCATCGTCATTTATTTATCAATCAATCAATCATTAATCAGACACACGCGCACCTCACTCTCTATACCTAATACAAAAGCTTGAAAACGAAACTTCTATTCGCAAAAATTCCACAATTTACTGACACTGAGAAAACAGAAAACGTATTTCTTTTCCAAATATAAAGATTTTCTTTATTTTGCCTTTTCCTTAATATTTACCTTTGATTACTTACACATTGAATCAAAAAAAATTAAAAACTTAGATATTTTAAGCCTTCAATGGGCTAAAAATAATAATTTTAAAAAATGTAAAGAGAGCCCTGTCGGGCAACATCTTGTCAAAAGAAGTTGAGAAAAGGTCGAATCTAAAGTCGACTATTAAAGTCGAGTAAAAGTCGACTTTTGAAGTAAATCTCGGCGATAAAACTCGTAAAAATCAACTTATAAATACCAGTTCTGAGCTAGTTATGAACAAATACTAATTAGTTTGTGACAAGTTCAACATTGGTTTGAAAGATTCGACTTTTTTACGACTTTTTGTTTAAAGTTTTTGACTAGTTCAAAACTGACATGAAAAAGTCGATTTTTTACGTTTTTTTTTTGTTCCACGATTTTCATTAGTTCAAAACTTTTTACGATTATTTTCACCAAGTTTTTGACTAGTTCAAAACTGGGAAGAACATGTCATTTTATTTGCAACTTTTTGTTCCTAGTTTTGACTAGTTCAAAACTGTAATGAAAAGGTCGACTTTTTACGACTTTTTTCAGCAAGTTTTTGACTAGTTCAAAACTGGGATAAATAGGTCAACTTATTTGCAACTTTTTGTTCCTAGTTTTTGACTAGTTCAAAACTGGGATAAATAGGTTCGACTTTTTTACGACTTTTTGTTTAAAGTTTTTGACTAGTTCAAAACTGACATGAAAAAGTCGATTTTTTACGTTTTTTTTTTGTTCCACGATTTTCATTAGTTCAAAACTTTTTACGATTATTTTCACCAAGTTTTTGACTAGTTCAAAACTGGGATAAATAGGTCAACTTATTTGCAACTTTTTGTTCCTAGTTTTTGACTAGTTCAAATCTATGATGAAAAAGTCGACTTTTTACGACTTTTTTATTCCAAGATTTAGAAGATGGGCGCGAAGCGCCCTCTAAGGCTAGAAAGTAGGGCGCGAAGCGCCTTGAATTTCTAGTTTTGTAAATATCACTTATATATTAAAAACTAGCTGAAGTGCCCAGGGTTGCCGTCAAATAAAAAAATTGAATCTAAAAATAATTTTGATTTTTGATTGATCTACCCCATGTTACACCCAGGGTACTCATGGCTTCCCTCAAAAAATGTCAGCCAATTCGGTCCAGCCGTTTGGCCATGGCTATGAGTAACATATATACAAACATTTAAATATATATATATGAGCAAAGAGCTCTATGATATAAAGATAAGATCTTAAAAAAATACCAGCTTTTGGGAAAACAAAACTTATTTTATCCTTTATCTTTTTAATAAGGCTAAAATAATCAATATTAATTTGTAGCAGAACTTGCATTTAATTTTTCAAGATATACATTCTTTAAAAAGTTGGTTTTTGTTGTTTAGCTATGAGAAGTTTTTGAAAATTATACCCACAATTGATTGACAAGCTTTCTCTACGGATCTTTTACTCATGGATTACCATATTTCTTTTCTAAAGCATTTCTTTTAAAACATTAAGGTCACACGAAAGTGTGACATACATATTTATATGTATACATATATACACATTTACTTTAGATATAGAATACATATCACATGAAAGCAAATTATGTTTTGAACTATAGTGTTTTTGATGTTTGAAAAAAATTAAACAATTTAACAATAAAAAAACAACAGATTGTCTATACACAAAGATATAAAGATTCTTAAATATATTAAGAAAATTGTAATAAAAGGGTAAAGGGATGGAGGGAGGTTATAATAGTCAGCCGCAACAAGGCTCTAGTTTTTTTGCTCAAGTACCCTCATGTATTAAACTTTAACTTAAAACATTAATATTCTGAAAGCACTTGAAAAATAACGGATTTTTCAAAACTACATTTTACAATGTGTAATTCTTCCTATACAATCAAATCGTCAACGTAAACCAATTAATTCAAATTTGAAATATAACTGCAGAAGTCCCACCAGTAATGTCGCACAATGAAGACCTTCTTTATGTCTAGTTCATTCATATTATTTTATATTTTCATTCGACTAGAAAGCATGAGATTTTACAAATAAGCAATCACAATACTATGCAGTTTGGACCCGCCTAACCAGGGCAGGTTGTTTTGAGTGGATGTTTGGAGTGGAAGTTAGTTAATGATAATGAATATAATTGGATATGCAGATCAAATTCACATACGTTTTTGGATAGGTAGGGAGTTTGCAGTGTGATGACACAAAATTTACAATTCAGAATTATCATTAATTTTCTTGACTGTTAATAAAAAAAACATTGTTTTCAGAGTAAGACTAATTTTGACTGTTCTACCTTTCATAAATCATAACAATTTTCATGATAAATCAAAGCCGTAAATTTCTTGTTGAAAAGGTATCAAATGATATAAAGGGATTGAAATATATATATAAACAATTATTAGTTATAATTTGCCTTATATCAAATTTCCAAGATGTGACACAGTGCGTGGTATGATACCCAGGAGTTTTATAATGTCCTTCCTTACATTGATAGTTCCACTTGTCAATACAAAAGAGCCCCAAGGTCGATCTTATGGGATCGTTGGTGCAATGGTTGATAAAGAGGTTGATGATAGGTAAACTCCTTTTCTGTTTACCAAGTTTGACAAAATGTAAGAATAACTTTCATTTTTAAGTTACCCTACATTTGTATTGATTCGCATTACATTGATTCACATGGGAACCATTTTAACCTTTATCTTTGCAAAAATGATGAAGATATCAAAGTTTTCTCTCTGGAAAAGTGATGAATTTTGACAAAGGTGAAAAGAGTACAATTGTGAATCAGACTAATCTAAAAACTGATGATATGAAATACAAAATATAAAATTTTGTGATATGGAATACAAAATATGAAATTTTGTGATTTGGAATACAAAATATTAAATTTTGTGATATGAAATACAAAATATTAAATTTTGTGATATGGAATACAAAATATTAAATTTTATGATATGGAATACAAAATATTAAATTTTGTGATATGAAATACAAAATATTAAATTTTGTGATACGGAATACAAGTATGAAATTTTGTGATATGGAATACAAAATATGAAATTTTGTGATACGGAATACAAAATATTAAATTTTGTGATATGAAATACAAAATATTAAATTTTGTGATGCGGAATACAAAATAATAAATTTTGAAATATGGAATACAAAATATTAAATTTTATGATATGGAATACAAATTATTAAATTTTGTGATATGGAATACAAAATATTAAATTTTGTGATATGAAATACAAAATATTAAATTTTGTGATACGGAATACAAATATGAAATTTTGTGATATGGAATACCAAATATGAAATTTTGTGATACGGAATACAAAATATTAAATTTTGTGATACGGAATACAAAATATGAAATTTTGTGATACGGAATACAAAATATGAAATTTTGTGATATGGAATACAAATTATTAAATTTTGTGATATGAAATACAAAATATTAAATTTTGTGATACAGAATACAAAATATTAAATTTTGAAATATGGAGTACAAACTATTAAATTTTATGATATGGAATACAAAATATGAAATTTTATGATATGGAATACGAAATATGAAATTTTATGATATGGAATACAAAATATGAAATTTTGTGATATGGAATACAAAATATGAAATTTTGTGATTTGGAATACAAAATATTAAATTTTGTGATATGGAATACAAAATATAAAATTTTATAATATGGAATACCAAATATGAAATTTTGTGATATGGATTACAAAATATGAAATTTTGTGATTTGGAATACAAAATATTAAATTTTGTGATATGAAATACAAAATATTAAGTTTTGTGATATGGAATACAAAATAAAAAATTTTATAATATGGAATAAGAAATATGAAATTTTGTGATATGGATTACAAAATATGAAATTTTGTGATATGGAATACAAAATATGAAATTTTGTGGTACGGAATACAAAATATTAAATTTTGTGATATGAAATACAAAATATTAAATTTTGTGATACAGAATACAAAATATTAAATTTTGAAATATGGAATACAAAATATTAAATTTTATGATATGGAATACGAAATATGAAATTTTGTGATATGGATTACAAAATATGAAATTTTGTGATATGGAATACAAAATATGAAATTTTGTGATATGAAATACAAAATAAGAAATTTTGTGATGTGGAATACAAAATATGAAATTTTGAGATGTGAATACAAAATATAAAATTTTGTGATATGGAATACAAAATATGAAATTTTGAGATGTGAATACAAAATATTAAATTGTGTGATATGGAATACAAAATATGAAATTTGGGATATGGAATACAAAATATGAAATTTTGCAATATAGATGGAATACAAAATATTAAATTGTGTGATATGGAATACAAAATATGAAATTTTGTGATATGAAATACAAAATATGAAATTTTGTGACATGGATTACAAAATATGAAATTTTGTGATATGAAATACAAAATTTGAAATTTTGTGATATGGAATACAAAATATAAATTTTTTTGATATGGAATACAAAATATGAAATTTTGTGATATGAAATACAAAATAAGAAACTTTGTGATAATATTTCCTAATTTCAGGCCACCGTTTATGGTAGTTTTCAACTTTCAACCAAGTTCTTCTGTTGCTTGTAGCAGTTCTATGATATCTACTCAGTGGATAGTATCTGCAGGATAATGTCAAAATTAAATAAAAATAAATTTTTACATTTTAGAAATTTCAACATGTCTTGTCATAAGCTCTTTATTTAAAATTTTAAACAAAAATCAATATAATAGCTCTTTTAGAAACACAAATTTTCATCATTTTCAGTCTGGGTCAACTTTTGCATTTGTGTAACCCTGGACATTTACCTTTCAGATCTACAATCAGCATCTCTGTAGCTTCAATTTTTTAGTACAGTGAGAACCAGAAAACTTTGAAATTGAAAGACGACTTTTAAACTCAAATAAGGACTTAAACTAGTTCAATGAACATTAGACATAGCAATTGTACAGTGTAAATAGACCCATCCCACTTAAATAGTGTTTTGCTAAGTTACTAGAAAAAATATTTGCTTTGTAACTACATCAAATTTCTATAATGTCGTCTTTCTATTCTATTGTTTTCTGGTTATCAATGTAGTAAATCAGCAAACTACTGATAGATCTTTTTGTGAGAATTACTTTGCCAATTTTTCATAGTCCCTCCTTACCAATCTGAGGTTTCTAATCCCAGGTCTTATTTATCCTGGTTAATAAGGTTTCCAATGTCAATGCCAAATATTAATATTAATAATGAAAAAATTAATTAAATTTTGGTATGCTCAGCTCATTGTATTGTCAGCAAGAAGCATATGATGGATGGATCATGTTTATCAAATTACACAAAAGCAAAGGAAATTTTATTACATATCTATTTATATAAAGCAGGGGTCCATATAATTTCTTTTTTCAATCCCATTTGGGATTGACAAATTTGAAAGAAATGGGGGCAAATTTTTTAAATAGGGGCAAATTTTTTTAAAATGATAATTCAAAAAAAAAATTGGGGGCATTTTTATTTAATTGGGGGCATTTTTTTTTAATTGGGGGCAATGGGGGCAAATTTGTTAGTAGAATTTAAAATGTTTTTTTAAAGTTGGGGGCAAAAAATTATTTTGGGATAGAAAAAATCAGCTATTTTGGGAATTAAATGGACCCCTGATATAAAGTAGTAATCTCTGTTTGGATATTAGAATGTCAGATCTTAATTCAGGAACTCAACTGCACCCATTTGCATACAATTTTGATATGGAAAATCAGTAAAACCACGGGAATGTTCAAGTTGGGAAAACTTAGTTTCCAGGCATAGCTGGGTTTTTAAAACCCCTGCCAAAATTTTTTTTAACATTTTTATTTTTAGATTTTGAAATTTTTTACAATATTTTTAAATTTTTATATGATATCAGATGAAAATATTTTAACATTTCTATATTTCTTGTTCTTCCTTTTCTTCTTGTTTGTACAGCAAGCATCTCACCCCCCTCCCGTGCTCCCCCTCCCAGGTGGGAGGGGGGACGTCTTCCAAGCTCCCATCTCTAATATCAAGAGATTTACCTTCAAATTTTTTTGTTCCATTTTCTTTTTTCTTCTTGCTTCTTGTTTCTTTTTTCTACACTTTGAAGCCTCTCCAAATAGTTCTTGTGAAATTGAGTTGTGGAGCAGGAAGGGGAGAGATAAGGAGATTTGGAGGAGGAAGGGTATGAGGGATTGCTCCATGTTTTCCTTCTCGTTAAAGTCTATTCTGACTCTAAATTTTAACGTTTAAACGGCTGAAAACCCTTAATCCTAGTGTTTTTAGGTGACTCTGTATAAATGGAGAAGTAAAGATAAATTTGAGACCACAAGAATATGAATTTTAATAATTTCAGCTCTTCCTTTTTCTTCTAGAATATTTTCAAGCATATCATATTCGCTAAAAAGACAAAAGAATGTCTGTGAAACCAAAAAATTTATAAATAAATAAAGTTTAAAGCTAAATGTGAACCTCAAAATAATGGAGATATGAAGATTATATTCCCAGTTCAAGCAGCAACAACACCAGAGGTAGAATTCTTCAAATGGTTCATGCAGTTTTAAAACTTAATCTGAGACCCCTCCAGATGTTCATTAGAGACCCCCAGATTTTCACATATCAACAGATAACCCTTTATTTTAAGGTGGGTCTCGGAGTTATTGATAAATTGGCAGTGGGAGATTTCAATGTAAGAGCTGGGGGCCTCAAATGAAAATCTGCATTAAAAGCTGGGTGTTTCAGATAAAAATCTGAAATTGAATGCTGTGGGTCTCAAATGACAATCTTGGATATACTTTGAAAAGTTCAGGGTCTCTGATAAGATCCTTGGGGTCGCTGATGTATGCAACCCTAGCTGAAAGAATTTGCATAAACCTGCGAGATTTTTAAATGATTTTTTAAAACTTATTTTTAATGAAATAAGTTCATTATTTTTCTCAACCTGTTTGTATACATGCAACTAGTTTGTAGAATAGTGTTTGTTACATGTTTTGTCCATGTTATTCAAGAATTGTAAAAAATACGCTCCTTGTGCTGACTGAAGCATCTGGTTTCTACAATATTTACCTCAAGTACCATGTCTAGTTGGTCTCTCCATTTAAAATTAAATAAAAAAGAATTGTTCAGGTAATTGTTGATATTGCTGATCTAAATATGCAGAAGAAGAATATGTCAAAGAAGTTTCTGGTCGATTTCATCATTGTTCATAAAGATGGATACAAGGGTAAATATAGTATACCTTCAAAAAGTTATTTTTGATACAAGTGAATACATCTTAAACCTTTAAAAATTATTCTTGATTATACATCAGAATATATTTTATACCTTTAAAATCTTATTCTTGAAACAAGGGTATATATTTTAAACCTTTAAAAACGTGTTCTTGATACAAGTGTATATATTTTAAACCTTTAAAAAATTATTCTTGATACAAGGGTATATATTTTATACCTTTAAAAACTTAATCCTGTTACAAGCATATGTATTTTATACCTTTAAAAACTTAATCTTGATTCTGTTTTAAATAAAATATTTTGGTGAAAGAACATGGAACGGGTAATTTTGTGATGTCTGGTGTTCACAAGTTTAATTCCTATAATCCATACAAACCTGTGGTTTCTAAAACATCTGAAGCTGACATCTGGTTGAGCAGTTATGACCAACCAACGAATAAAGAAGGACAGAGGGGTGGCTGTCAACAACTTTTGCTTTGAAAGAATGTGTGCTTTCTAAACAACAAGAAAAAAGCTGAAAGTGAATTGATCCAAGTGAATGGTAATGAAGAGAGGAAAGGTTAAAAAGCAGGGAGAGTCTATGGTTGTCTGCTATAGGTACCTGGAGGTATCTAATCTGGGCTTAAAAATGATTGGGAGCAATGAGTGTGATGTTTCCTAACTGTAAGGCACCCGGGCCTCATTCCAGTAAAACAGAAAAATTCATGCACTCTACTATTCTCTGGCCTAAGAAGCCCCTAAGCAGCTGGAATCTTGTAAACCCTCTTCTCAGTATGAATGAAGCAGGGATTTGTAATAGTGATCGAAAACATTCTTTAGGGTAGTTTTCTCATTCAAACAATATCCAAAAATACTTTTTTAATCCTTTTTAATTTTTAATGCTTGCACTACATGCTAGAACACTTCTTACAGGGATGTTGGTATAATTTCCCTTTCATAAAATCAAATGTCAAATTTATTATTATTATTATTCTTATTAAACATTAAATATTGATATATATTTGTTTTTAAAATAATATTTTTTTGCCGGTTTCATAGGTTCGGTATAATGAATTCTTCTTCTAATTCAACCTTTCATAGTATCTTTAATTTATTCAAAAAAGATTGCATGTTCCTTGCACTGCTTGCTTGCTGTTTGTAAAGTAACTTTTAACATATTTTTTAGGAGGAAAGTATGGAAAGTACGGAGGACATGATATTATTCTAGTGAAAACTATTAAACCAATGGACAAACATTTTAGGGTAAAATATTTTTGTAATGCCCATTGAAACTTTATTTTCTATGTCTACTAAAGTTACATAAATGGCTATATTTTGAAAAGAAAATATTGTCACCTTTAATTAAAATAATATAATAAGATGATGAATAATCCATTAATTATATAAAAAAAACTAAGTTCTACATTGTTTACTTTCTACTTACACTATCTAACTTTATTCTTAATAAAGGATTTTAATTGTATCTTTAAACACATCATACTTTCAGGGGGCTGTCTAGCAATAATTTAGCTGACCTGTTTCCACATTTAATGAATAGTGAGACATGGTTTAACCACATTAATGTAGTTTAGTCACTTCTCTTTAGCTTGAATAGGTTGACAAGAGAAGTGGTTTAACTAAGTCTACGCAGTTCAGCAACTTCTTGCTATTTCTTAAATCGGGTACTTGTATGCATACTTTTATTGCATATTTTCAGACAAAAAAAACTGAGCAAATTTGCTTGAATTTATTGTTGAACTTTCAAAATTCAAATTGCCTAAGTTATAACTTATGTTGTCTGATTTTGACCATCTATAAACCCAACCCAACACTCAATCTACAAAAAAACCACTAAACCAATCAACAAACAACCAAACAAACAAATCAATAAACAACCTAATAGAGCAGTCAACAAACAACCCAACAAACCAATTTACAAAAACCAACAAAAAACATCAACAAAAAATCCAAAAAAAACAATCAACAAACAAGCTAAACAGCCAGTAAGCAAACAACCCAACAAATAATCAATAAGAAATATAAACAACCATCCAACAGACAACCAGACAAAACTATGGAAAAACAACCCAACAAGCCAAAGAAGTCGATCAACAAAGAACCAGACAATCCAATCAATAAACATTTCACTTAACCAATCAACAAATTCCCCTACATAACAATCAACAAAATATCAACAAACAACCCAAGCCACCAATCAACAAACAACCCATGCCACCAAGCAACAAACAACCCATGCCACAAATTAACAAACAACCCAAGCCACCAATCAACAAACAACCCAAGCCACCAATCAACAAACAACCCAAGCCACCAATCAATAAACAACTCAAGCCACCAATCAACAAACAACCCTAGCCACCAATCAACAAACAACCCAAGCCACCAATCAACAAACAACCCAAGCCACCAATCAATAAACAACCCATCCCACCAATCAACAAACAGCCCAAGCCACCAATCAACAAACAATCCATGCCACCAATCAACAAACAACCCAAGCCACTAATCAACAAACAACCCATGCCACCAATCAACAAACAACCCAAGCCACCAATCACAACCAAAGAGACCAATCAAAAACAAAACTACCAAACCAATCATTCAAAAACAAAGCCAATTTTTAGTTTCTATATTTAGGCATGTGTGCCTGGTCCTAATTTTACCCCTGGAAATACCTTAATAGGTGGATATGGAAGATATAGAAGAATACAGTGCCAGGTTAATGATCAGGGTCCTCATGTTTTCCAGGTACAGATCAAACATAAACATCTTTCTAAATAGTCTTTCCCACAAACTCCCATTTGCTAATCCTTTTATCTTTGCAACCTGATGGTGTAAACCTTTGATATTTCAAAGTCAGATTATTTGATCTAACAGAATTGATTGTTTGAAAATCTACTACGTTGTGTTGAAAAGTTATAAGGTTAATAAATCAGAGTTTGCGGCAAAGACTCATTTCCTTTTTAGATTGAAATAATATATTTAATCAAAAATGAAGAAAAAAATCAAATTACTTAAATGCATGCATATGAAGGCCCAAGGGTAGAAAGTTATAAGAACAAGGATAGTTTGGCTCGGACAAAGAATTGATTGATGTGGAGCACTTTCCGTCCCTTAAAAAAAAATCAAATTATTTAAATGCATGCATATGAAGGCCCAAGGGTAGAAAGTTATAAGAACAAGGATAGTTTGGCTCGGACAAAGAATTGATTGATGTGGATCACTTTCCGTCCCTTTAGAAAAAAATTCCATTTAAAGAAATCTTGGAGTAACTTCTATTATACTAGAAATTCAAGGCGCTTCGCGCCCATCTTCTATTAAAATTGTGAACATGTTCTTTTTGTTTACATTTCAAAACAAAGATGAAAAAAATTTTGCGGATTTTAAAAAAAAAATTCGCGGATTTTCAAAAATTTAAATTTTTTTACAAAATTTAAAACCTTTAAAACACAAATTTTTAAAATTTAAATCATTCATTTTTAATAAATGTGGAACATCTACTCTTTTACTCTACAGAGGTTTGGTCATCACCATCACCGAATTTCTAATCAACCATTATTCATTATATTTCTTTTTTGATAAAAGGGCTTTTTTTGTTGGTATTCTTTAACTAAACATACTGGTTTAAATATGCTGTTTAATATTCAGTGTTTGTGTTTTCCAATTAAAATAAATAAGGTCTTTTGGCTGGAGCCTCGAAAATATTTACACTGAATAATTTCAATATAGTTAGAACTTTGATGTTTTAAATCTCAGAATCAAGCATTGATCTCCATTATATACAGATCAACAGATGTATTTAATTCCTCATTGGTACTTAGATCAGACAAGCATACATTTGTAGTATAAAATGTTACAGGGTCGACTTTACCTTGGGTAGTTTAGACTGGTCAATATGGTCTCGGCATAAAGTACAATTACAGGATAATAAATCCTTGTTACGGTTCAGATCATGCAACTATTCGATCCATGTGCAAGCAGTTAGCCTCAAATTTAAAAATCATTAAATTTTAGCGATAATTCAAGGAAAAAATGCCAAATAACAAAAACATTAAAATAATATGTTCAAAAGAATATCATAAAAGCATATATCCAGGATCAGCTTGGATGCATTCGCGAGGAGGAGACACCGAGCGCCAAGAATCCTGACTGTATAGATTTCAGAAACCAAACAGCAACAACTAACAAGGTTATGACCAGGTAATCATCTGTATAGATTTCAGTAACCAAACAGCAACAACTAACAAGGTTATGACCAGGTACGTATTCATCTGTGAAGATCAGAAACCAAACAGCAACAACTAACAAGGTTATGACTAGGTAATTATCTGTAAAGATCAGGAACCAAACAGCAACAACTAACAAGGTTATGACTAGGTAATTATCTGTATAGATCAGGAACCAAACAGCAACAACTAACAAGGTTATGACTAGGTAATTATCTGTATAGATCAGGAACCAAACAGCAACAACTAACAAGGTTATGACTAGGTAATTATCTGTATAGATCAGGAACCAAACAGCAACAACTAACAAGGTTATGACTAGGTAATTATCTGTATAGATCAGGAACCAAACAGCAACAACTAACAAGGTTATGACTAGGTAATTATCTGTATAGATCAGGAACCAAACAGCAACAACTAACAAGGTTATGACTAGGTAATTATCTGTATAGATCAGGAACCAAACAGCAACAACTAACAAGGTTATGACCAGGTAATCAGCTGTATGGATCAGGAACCAAACGGCAACAACTAACAAGGTTATGACTAGGTAATTATCTGTATAGATCAGGAACCAAACAGCAACAACTAACAAGGTTATGACTAGGTAATTATCTGTATAGATCAGGAACCAAACAGCAACAACTAACAAGGTTATGACTAGGTAATTATCTGTATAGATCAGGAACCAAACAGCAACAACTAACAAGGTTATGACTAGGTAATTATCTGTATAGATCAGGAACCAAACAGCAACAACTAACAAGGTTATGACTAGGTAATTATCTGTATAGATCAGGAACCAAACAGCAACAACTAACAAGGTTATGACTAGGTAATTATCTGTATAGATCAGGAACCAAACAGCAACAACTAACAAGGTTATGACCAGGTAATCAGCTGTATGGATCAGGAACCAAACGGAAACAACTAACAAGGTTATGACCAGGTAATCAGCTGTATGGATAAGGAACCAAACGGCAACAACTAATAAGGTTATGACCAGGTAATCATCTATATGGATCAGGAACCAAACGGCAACAACTAACAAGGTTATGACCAGGTAATCATCTGTATAGATCAGGAACCAAACAGCAACAACTAACAAGGTTATGACCAGGTAATCATCTGTATAGATCAGGAACAAAACAGCAACAACTGACAAGGTTATGACCAAGGTTATGGTCTAAAAACATTTGTCATCGTATTTTTGTAGTTTATAATTAATAATTACCAAAATATTTTGTATTTTAGAAAAAATTTGTCGGAAATTGTGATTTTTGATGCAGGGCTTCAAAATGTTTTGACAAAGTGTTATACGTAAGTAAACATGGATCAATAGATCATAAAAAAAACCAAAGAAGATTTAAACTCTTCGTTAGAGCATATTTTATTCTGAAAATGAAACTCTAAAAGTTCCTGGGCGATACATTTTAAAATTTTGTATTCTTTGCTTTACAATAATCTTGAAAGATGCTTAATTTAGTAAAAAATCTAATGCCCTATTATAAAGTACAGATCCTGGGAAATATGGTTGGTGTGGACTAACCATAAAAGATAAAACAACTCACAAAAACAAGGTAAGACGTTTTAGAAGTACTTCTTTCATCTGAGCCCAACGACAGCTTAGACCTGAGTCGTATTTTTCCGAATTGTTTAAATCGCAGGCTCTGATGTTTTAGTAATAAAAAAGTGTAAAAACACTTTGTTGCTTAGAGCTGAGTGTCTAGCATGACACCCTTGCTTCAGTGTAAGAAACATTTCTTAGGTAATCTGAGCCGGCGATTTAAATAAAGAAAATACAACTCAGGTCTAAGCTGTCGTGAGCTTTATTTACGGCTTTAGCTTGATGAGAACAAGACTCCACATTGAGCCTTATTCTCCACTGAAGCCAACAAAGGTCGGTTTTAATGTCATCAGGTCTAATTCCATAAGTCGATTCTAAGATCTCGCGGCTGTCAATCATGTGACAGATAAAAATTCAATTTTCGCAAATTTGCAATTTTTTTGCAGATTCTAAAAGTAGAGCACAAGAGCTTTCTAATGATGTATCATTTGTCATATTTGGACATAAAACATGGGATTTAGAGGGGGGGGTCAAATTGCCCCCCCCCCCAGCGTATCCTGGTTTTCAAGTACCCCAGCAGGGATAGGGTTAAAGCTGGATTTTGTGTGTCTAATATACAATGGCTCTAATTCAGGAAATGAACATCAAATATTATGAATTTCTAATCAAAAATGGCTCTATTTCCGATTATGGATGTAAAATAAATTGAATGTCTAAACGTAATGGCTCCTTTTTAGGATATATGAATATCAAATACTATGAACGTCTTATGAATAATAGCTCTATTTCAGGATATGGATATCAAATATGATAACGGATGGGGACATTGTTCGGATACATGCCTGGATAAAGAAAAAATATCAAATGCAGGTTTCTGTTTTTAGTTTTACGTATAATACAATAAAACTGAATAAAGGGATTGAAAGAGCAATGTCAAGTAACCCTGCATGCAAAGTTGGCGATGTCTGATTCATATTGGTTATCTTGAAACCTTTATCTGATCAATAATATGGAAGATATTGGTGTCACTTTTGTAGAGAACCCACAGTTGAAAATAATCATTTTTCAAAATTATAAACATTGATATTTGATCAGACAAAGCTTTAAAGGGCACTGTTGTGTGAATGTAAGAAATTTTAAATTACGCTTAAATAGTCCCTTTAATTATGATAGGAATTAAGTTTATTTACATTATTTAATTTTATTTTATGAATTTTTGAAGGCAAAGCTCGGATTAAGCCTGTCAAGATCATGGATCAAACTTATTGTGATCAAGAGCTGATGAGAATGATCAGAGGAAACAATTCCTTCACTGTTAAACCCTTGGTAATAATCAGACAATACCTTTTAAAAAAATATAGAATAGATAAACAATGTTTTGAACAATTTTTTTAACATCTAAAAATGTCGGCAACTTTAAATTCTAAGCGTCCATAAACTTTTCCTGGAGTTCCAACAACATTTTAGGCTAAATCAATTTGAAAGTTTGACGTCTATGGCATTTAACTAAAATTAGTCCGCCAAATACAAGCGTATGATGTTTTAGTGAATTTTTTAGGCCGCAAAATATGCTTTTAAACCATATCCCGATTGGGCTATTTTTGTCTAATATATTGATGGGGGGGGGGTGTTTTCAATGATTTCGCCCATGGGGGAGTGTAATACACGTTCCTAGTCCAAATTTTCAAGGCCTGCTAGGTATAAAAAATAGACCTCTAACTTTAATGGTTAGGGTGCATTATAGGAAGGACTTTTTAGCCCTGTAGCTAAATTAATTAGAATGTTATTACTCGTCTTTGATTTTTTTGAAACACCGCGACCAGCCATTTAACTGTCTTCCACCCTTGTCTATGCAGAAAACACTCATATTAAAGCAACATGTGTTCACAACTATGAAGTTTTAAAAAAGTAAAGAAGTTCTAATGTAAGCCGTTTTTAAGCTTTTTAGAAAAAATCAAGCCTTTCAATCCATGATAGGTGTAAAGAAATATAGTTGAGAGAATATATTTAGTATTGATAAACAATGTTATGACTTTTGTAACATATGAAAAGGACAGCAACTTTAAATCCAAAAACCTGTCCAACAACTTTTTGCCAAAATAGTTTGGCCTTATGACGTTTATGGGATACAATTAAAATCATTTTATGATGGTAAAAACAATACAGGATTTCTCTAAAAAAAATTATTAATGCAAAGGCCTAAATTCTACACCAATTTTTTTGTACTTAAAAATTAATTCTAACAAATTTTCGAAATATTGGAACAAAACAAACTTTATATAATGTGTAAAGCAAACATTCTAAGCATGTTTAAAATTTAATGCTGAGCAGATGTTATCAAAGTAATCGATGACTTGAGCCTCAGATTTTAAATTTTTTTTTTACATTTAAATTATCAGTCTAAAATTGTTGTTGCAAAATCTGCACATTCCGTTCGAAAAACGGTTCAGAAGAAGGCTCTGTCATCGATTGGAAAAATCTTTAAAAAAGAAACAAAATATTTTCAAAACTTCAAACGTGAATAATATTTGCTGGAAGAATTATAAAAGATCCGACATGTTTCATAGATAAAATTTAATGTCTGAAAAACAAAAATTGATTAAGAATTGAAGCTCTAGCATCAGCTAACGTTATGAGAGACATCTTTTATTTAGAGTTTAAATCAATTGATAGTATTTATTTCTAGGTATACTGTGTTGCTCATAACGAAACCTATAAAACTGGATTTTATGAAAAGGAAAAAAAAATCAATTAAAATTTTTTTAAAATAAAAAATGTAATAAAAGAAAAATTCCATTAAAAAAATTGTTGGTCTCATTTTAAATTTTTTGAGCTTGAGAATGGAACTTATAAAGAACTGGAGTCTAAGGTAAGATTAAAATGTATTGTTTAAGTAGTTATCTAATTAAACAATAAAATGTTTCTAAGAAAATAAAAAAAAATGAAATGATACAGAAAAAAAATGTTGAACTAGGTACGACTTGTTCAACCACTTTTGCTACACTGCCAGCTGTAAACATTAAAAATTTAATAAAAACAGCTTTCAATATTCATAAAATCTTGATAAGGAATAGTCCTTTTTTGATTTAATCCAAAACCTAATTAAATTTTAGTTTTTCCTTTGTATTTTGTCTTTCTTGATTTTAAATTGGAAGTTTTAACCTGGATGCTGCATATTGCATATTGTCCAAATAAACATAATTAATTTACAATTTAAGAAATTCTTTGATTTGTATTAAGTTATTATTAGGATTTAAAAATTGGTCTGTGTGTTTTAACACGAAACATTAATTTTCTAAATAATAGATTTTGGAAATTTCAATAGACGCAAAAGAGTTCTTGCTCTTTATTAAAGGAGCTTTATATGTAATATCAAGTGATCTGACATTTAAAGTGTGGCCTAGAGGTCTTTTAAACTTTTATCTGAGTAACAATATATAAATACTTTTCTATTTAACAAGTGTTGAATTTTGTCAATTTTCTGAAAGGCGTAAATGCACAAGTCGCTTCCACAAAGAAAACAAAATCGAGGTTTAAAAAATTTCAGCTGAGGCATGGCACTCTGAAAATTAAGAGTCACTTGAATTTGAAATTACGACTTTCTTCCCTTCAAGCGTTAACATTTTTAAAAACATTTATTAATATTTGTTTTGATTCTCATTCTGATTTAGGCAGAATATCACTTAAAATTAAACAGATCCTTCCCCTGGTATATCAGGTACATTGTTGAAAATAAAGAAGAAATGTATCTTATACAGCTGTAACTAGAGATGGAAATCGTTTTCGTGAATGAAAACATTTTCTGTCAAGAACCAATTTTTGAGTGAATGATGGTTGTTTTGTCACAAATCTAATCAAGTAAATCTATATCAAGCTCATTCTTGCTGAGTAGAACAGAACAAATACAATCTTCATTTCTAAGTAATCAAGACAGCATCCAAATCAGCGTTTATTCTAAATACAGGATAGAACTATTACAATAAATATATAAATGTACAAGATCATAAAGAATACATAAAAGGATAAAATAGATCACAAATCAGATATAAGACTGCTTTGAAGTTATTTGACAGAGAGAGAATCAATCGCATATTTGCCCCCTAGACCCACCCTGATGGAAGCAGAATGTTGATAGAATGCAGATTGGCACCAAAATATAACCCCTTCAGAATAAAACATATTAATGATGAATCTCTCAACACACTTACCATACTTCTGAAAATATGCTCGGTAAATATCATTTTGACGTATCTACTCGTTTACACTAGTTTAAACTCACTCTCTGCTTAGTGATAGTCATCATTAAACATCAGGACAATCAATCAATAATACTTTAAGGATTAACTTTATACTATTTCTCCGGAGCTAATATAGGTATTGGTATTATCAACACTTTTTTACTCTAACCTGGAGAGATTTAACCATTTACTCTGTACCTCTAAAGACGGTTTCAAAGTTCTCCGTTACTCTTTTTGCCTTAACATGGAAGTATTTATACTCTGGAAATAAATTTCAATCTGGATCCAGAACCTTAAATCCACAGAACAATGGTGTCATTCAGAAAAAAAAGCTATGGACGAACAACTTGGTCATTCAGAGAAATGAAAAAACGAACAATGTAAATTTTTCGAACTTCATTTTTTAAGATATTGACAAGAACAAAATTTTGAATAAACGTTTGTTATTTTATTGAATGAACAATTTTACTGGACAATCTTTCACTGAGAAAACAAACGAAATAGATGAAAGATGAACAATATTTTTGACACTTAACAAAATAAAACTTTTTTAACGATTGAAACAAAAAAAAATGGGTAGTTAACAAACTATGAACGAACAAAATGAAAACAAAACCGAACACGCCCATCTCTAGTCTAACTATTTTAACTAATTCTCCCTTATTTATAAGGAATTGTGTATTTTGCCAACAATTTTCTAATCCCCATATATTTGTAACCCAATGTAGTAGACCTTAAATATTTCAAACTATAAATTCTGTTAGAATAAAATACTCTAAGTTTAAAATATTAAAGATTAACACGTGATCTTGATTTCAATCTCTGGAAAATGTATTTGTTCGTCACGTTAAACTAAAGTAAAATGCATGTAAAATTTAAATCTGACATGTTTTCAAGAATAACTCCTCTTATTTAAGAGTTATTGAGAAGTACAAAATGTTTTGAGTTCTAATATGAAGTTGCTTTTTTCATACTTTTCTGTAAAATCAAAACTACAGAAGCTACGAGGTCACCAAGTTATACTAATAATTGTGCATACATTTGATCTTCTCCTCCTGCTAGTTTGCAGGGTGTTTTTTTCTCCTAATATATCCTAGAGCTACAGGGAGCTGTAGAGGGGATTCTGGCGGTCCACTCTATGAACAGGTAGATTCAAATTCAGAGGGATCGAATTTAATGAATTTCCCTAGGTCGCTGAACTACATACCTCTGGTTCAAATCTTGAATCGTCCATTCAAAGTTTAAGATTCATGTGGATTCAAATTTGTGATTCAGGATTTGAACCTCGTGGTGGTAGATATTTTTAGCAAGATAGAGAATTCATTAAATTTTATCCCAGGGTTACCCTCATAGGATAAGACTTCAGAGACAAAGGATAATGTTAAGCTGTCACCATGTTACCATTTAAAAGTGGTATGAAATAAAGGAAATCTAAAGCCTGAAAACTGATGTGAGTAAATCTACAGAGTATAAGACAAAATGTATTTACAAGTAAAAAAAGAACAAATAAAATGATACTAATGAAACATGGAAAGCTGGAGCTCTCTGGAAGACTCTGCCTTATGTTGGCCTCATACAGTGACTTTATTTTCCGTCTGCCGACACTTGCTGATAACTAACTCTCATTTCGTTTTAGCCCAGGTCAATCCTATTTACTCCTCATTCATGTCAAGCTGTGTTTCATGCCTATTGACTTAAATTTAAAATAGAATTCTGGGTCCAATGGTGGCTTCTATTTTCCACGCATTCAAACATTAGTTCAAAGCATGTTTTCTGGGCTGGCATCTTTCACATGATCTAAATGAGGTGACTTATCATTCGTCCAACTGCTATCGTTGACTACAGTTTATTTACAAGTAAATCTCTCACCATGCTCACATTGTAATCCGAGCTTAGCTCAGGGTCCGTATGAGGACTGAAGGGGTTACATTCCGAGCTATTCAGCTCACACCGGTTACATTATGTTTAATTTTATTTATAGACTTTATGTCCACCGCAGCTGTAAGAGTAATTTTTTTACTGCCAAAAATAATATAAATCATTAATAAACAAATGGGAGGCAAGATCCAAGTTTAACCAGTTAAATGTTCGTCACTAAGGTCTCTTTCTTTGTGGGTAGCCGGGGATTTTAAAAATGTGTGAACTCTGGGAATTTCTTTTTTTATTGGGGTTAAAACCACTGAAGATTGGCCATGAAACAATTTGTTTTTGTAATAACCTGAAATTTAGAGAGGGAATGAATATATTCTACTTGGAACTGCAAGTAGGGGTGCTGGTAGTTTAGAAACATGTGGAGGCATTGATAATCCTACTCATTATGTCAGGTATCCTTCACGTCAAACTAAACTAAATTTAAATGTTATTTACAATTACTTTACAGTGAGAATTGGTCGGGGGAACTCAGGGATAAGTGAAAATTTGAATTTCCCAAAAAAGTATTTGTAAACAATTTTATCGACTTTGAGATAAAAATGCCCGAATTTTCGAACGAAAACTTCGCAGAGTGAGTAGTTATTTTATTTAATTTTCCCAAGGGATGTAAAGTAACTTAAAGTATCTCATGTTGCTAATCATAGGTCGGTAATGTTGGTCAAAGGGCGGTAAAATTCCTTATTCTTCTTATTGAAGAGTTTTTACGTTAAACTAAACAAAATTTTAGAAACTTAAATATTATGTGTTTAATCCATAACTTCTCTTAGTAAAGAGTTTTTATAAAGAACAAACATGTTTTGAATGTATATTATGCAACAGGATAAGATACATTTTCTCATATAGGGTGACAAGATTAGTGTGTGGAATCCGGTTCAGCTCCTCAGACTTATAAATCTAGCTTCTCATTGATTCTTTGTATTTTTTTTAGGATGAAAGACATGCTACCATGGATAACTGAGTATGTTTCAAAAGATGAACTATGTATTGTAAATTAGAAAACATCCAAATTAATAAAATGTAAAACATTTTCAGGCTTTACTTTATACACATAGAATCCATTATATCTTCATTATCATTATCTTAAATGCCTTTTTTTCTTCAAATGTCGTCTCTGCAATTAATTGCGTCTTCTATTTGGGGCTTGGCACATTCAAGTCAGTGATTACCTGTATAAGCTGAAATTGTTCAAAAACCAACTTTCCTTAAATCTGTCTGTTAACGGTTTTAAAATTAATGGATTTTGCCGTTCGTTAACGAAATGTTGCCAGACCTACTCCTATCTTCTATTTTATCAAATCTTTAATATAAATGTTTTCTAACAAATTAATTTTATTCAGAAGAAGAAATCTATATGAAACGGTTCAGATAAGAAATGAATATTACAGGAACAGGTGTCATGTAAGGCATCAAATGAATCTTGATGTTTCAGTTTATAATACTGCTCTCTGAAGGCAATATTCATGGAACTACTGTAATATGAAAGCAAATAATTCTTCAAAAAGTCTAAAAAATTTAATAACAAATATTGTATACTAATTCTCCTTGAAAGAAGAGTTAAATGACAAATTAAAATGCATAAAAATAATCTTGAACATAAGAAAATGTAAGACTTGAAATAATGCACTGTCAGAAAAAATCAGCCCATTCTGACTGGAAATCTATCTGTATGGGTAAATATTTTTCCAATTAATTAGAATGTTGAGAAGCTTTTTGAAATCAAATCATGCAAATCAATATGCATATTTTGCCTGTATCCAATAAGCGTCAAAACGGCAAAACATAGCTGGTCCAATAGTGCAATTTTTTCAAACACATTAATCCAAGCGAAATTAATAGTTTAACGATTTTTGTTTTTTTTACAGAGTTCTATGAAAAATAGTGATTTATAGCTACAATAGTTAAAAGCTAAAAATGTAAATAGAAAGGACTAAGTGTTAAAAAAAGAAGATCATAGTTTCCTGTTAGTTTATGCACCATTTGATTGGTAATTAATAGAACTTAAAAGTAAGTTTTAATATCTATAAGCCACTATCTAGATGCATGATAGCTTGCATATCTCTCATGATATCTCTGTTGGATAAAAGGAAGTTTAAATGATGATAACTGTCTGCTATGGATACATTTGCGGACTGCTGCATAAACATTATATACATTATACATTATACATACAGTCCTCGTTGACAAAATAAATACAATGAAGACGGTTTTGATTTTTAATAAGCTTGCAATTTGAAATCAAAACTTAACTAGAAAAGTCGTCTTCATAGAATTGATTTAAACGCCGAATAATGCAGGATGTAAAAACGACTTTAAAGAAATAAAAAGTCATCGTTCTTTAAAGGGACTGTTCATTTATTTGGATGATTTCATGGTAAACTAATTAGTCTATTATCTATTCAATGGTATTAGTCTTACTTTTCAAAGATATCTATGACCGAAGAAAAAGCCGAATTATCGATCAGAATTCCAGCGTAAAAAAACTTTTGATTTTAGAATTAGAAAGAAAATAACGTGTTTTGTGTTCAAACATGATTAAACAAATTAACACGTTTATACAAAGACGACTTTTTTCTCTCAGACAAACCGGTTCCTAGATTTCAACTCTTCAATAAATCACGGGAATTCCAGGGAAAGTGTGGAAACGTATCAAACCTTCAAATGTTTAAAATAAGTTATATTTTAAAAATAGACAATTTTAAAATAATTTTGAAAAAAATTAAAGATATCTACAATTAACTTTTAGATACTACAATTTAATTTGTTATTTGAAAATTTTAAAAAATCCAAGAATTTTACAAAAGTATTAAATAGTGTAAATGCAAAGGTATCAAACCTTTGCGCTGGAATTCTGAATGATAAATCGGCTTTTTTCTAGGCCACAGTTGTCCTTGAAAAGTAAGACTAATAACAATAAATAGCCATAATAGGTTATTTAGTTTACCCTCAAATTACCCAAATAAGTGAACGGTCCCTTTTAAATAGAAAGTTTTTACCCAACCAGACTAATCCTAAGTGTGATCAAGAAATTCTACCTGACACCCTCTCCACTCAATTAAGGAAATCTGGAACCAGATTTAATAAATAACAAGTGGTTAAACTACATACTGCTTGTAGAACCAGAGAAGTGGTTCAATTTAGTCTACATAGTTAAACTACTTTTCACATTAAATAAATCTGGTTCCAGAGCTGGGAACTCTTGTATTGTGAATATATTGTAAATCTGCAGATTAATCTAATCTTTATTCGATATCCCTGCCCTGCATGCTAATTCTAAATAACTGAAATCAAGAGCTTAAGCATTAACCCTTAAATTAAAAGATTGTTTGATTATCGAGATCGAGATCAAACAATCGGGATTATGAATATCCAGCACAAAAGTACTGAACAGATACTTTAGAATGTGATATCCTTAATCTCGATCGGTTAATTAATCTGGAGATTAATAACAAGAGGAGAACAAGCATTATTTAATCTGGAGATTAATAACAAGAGGAGAACAAGCCTTATTTAATCTGAAGATTGGATCAAGCATTAATCCCGATGTTCATCATTCAAAAGTTCTCAGCTCTGGCCTCATAAAAAATCTGACTTAAAGCTCTTCTATGGTTTAACATCGTCCAGTTAGTTACAGTTTATGAGTCAAGTTTTCATTGCGCAGATTATTAATAACTGGAAATATAATTAAGTTATTTTAAATACTGTACTTTGTTTAAATATTATTAAATTATGAAAAATTAGTTGTAAATTTTATTGATTTTAATAATTTGCATCCAAATAATTAATATATCAAGTTACAAACTCTAATCTAATCCAATGCAGTTGCTTGGGATGTTAGGAATCCTACAAGTGATCCAATTGCTCCCAATTCTTTGGATTATTCAAATTATTCCCTGGATTATCTTCATCCAACCATGCCTGGCCAGCCCTAGAGAGAGAATAATAGGGGGGAGTGTTGTATCCGGGGATGAAAGGTAAGAGTTAGGAAACTTCCCAATGGATTATTTTGTTATTTTTTAGTGCGTCTAACTGGGCCCTGAATATGATACATATTTTTGAATTATTCTCGTTATTTGATAATGATCAGGCCTGTTTAATGTTCAACTTTGTTATGTTAATTGAACTAACTTTTCAATAATTTATAAAATAAAGCTCTTTTCTCATATGATAGATATATATATATTTATATGTCAGATATAGCTGGCCAAACGACTGGATCAATTTGGCTAAACTTTCTTTTAGGAAACTCAAAGGTACCATGGGAGTAACCATAGGCTAAAAATTCGATTTTATTAAGAGGAAAATTTTTTTTAACACTTTTTTCAAATTCCACGGGCAACGTTGGGCACTTCAGCTAGTAATTAAAAAAGTACATATATGTCCCACTATCAAGATAGAAATCCAGGACAAGCTAGGCAGATGAGTCGGAAATCACTTCTCCATAATATCATACTTTTAATGAATTATTGAAATAAACTATTCGTTGTGAGAACTTTCTTTTAAATAAAATAAGTTAAAAACCAAATTCACAATTACTAACGTCCAATACTATAACAAGTGACCTTGAATGCATTGGCTTCTATCTCACTATCATTACTTGTCATCAACACAGTTTGTTTTAGACCTCCTGTTATGGGAATCTTCAACTTCCAGCCAAGTTCTTCTGTAAAATGCAGTTGTTCTGTTATATCAGCAAAGTGGGCAGTGTCAGCAGGAATATTTGATTCACAAATGAAAATCATAATCAAAGAATAATGTTAGAGCGGTAGCTCTTAAATAAGAACATGAACATGTATTTTTGTATAAACAGGATTAGCTATAAACATAAATAAGAACATGAACACGTGTTTTTGTATACACAGGATTGGCTATAAACATAAATAAGAACATGAACACGTGTTTTGTATAAACAGGATTGTCTATAAACATAAATAAGAACATGAACACGTGTTTTTGTATAAACAGGATTGGCTATAAACATAAATAAGTACATGAACACGTGTTTTTGTATAAACAGGATTGGCTATAAACATAAATTAGTACATGAACACGTGTTTTTGTATAAACAGGATTGGCTATAAACATAAATAAGAACATGACCATGTGTTTTTGTATAAACAGGATTGGCTATAAACATAAATAAGAACATGAACACGTGTTTTTGTATAAACAGGATTGGCTATAAACATAAATAAGGACATGAACATGAGTTTTTGTATAAACAGGATTGGCTATAAACATAAATAAGAGCATGAACACGTGTTTTTTGTATAAACAGGATTGGCTATAAATATAAATAAGAACATGAACACGTGTTTTTGTATAAACAGGATTGGCCATAAACATAAATAAGAACATGACCACGTGTTTTTGTATAAACAGGATTGGCTATAATCATAAATATTTCAAAACCTTTTGCAGATTATTTTTAAAATAATATGCTGTGAATATATATGTCTTTAGCCCACTGCATTGTGGAAAAAGAGCATTTTATAAATGGTTCTTGCATGGAAGAAGCTACCATGGTTAAGGTAAAGTTAAGATTTAAATTAATATAATGCCTTGCATAAAAAGTTTCAGAATTTTTTTTTTCTTTTTGATTTTTCCTGGTCATTAAAAAGAAATTGTTAATATTTTTTTTTAGTTCTTAAAAACAACTATTTTACATTTTAAAAGAGAAACATGGTGAAAATTACATAATAGCAAAATGTCTGATTTTTTTTCTTAATTATTAAATCTTGACTAATTATTTAGTTTCTAACTGTTTGTGAACAGCTGCCAAACGGAGACACTAAGCTAATTTTTCCAACCCAGAAAGAACAAACTCCTAGGGTAAACTGCGCAGATCAGTAAAACTCAACCATTGCGCAGAAATAACCAAAGGGCTATGAGCAGCCTAGATACCATTTAAAAAAAATATCAATTTTAGCACTGCATTGATAATTCCAAATTTTCTAAAAAAGGAAAGAATTGAAAATCTTGCATGAAATACAATATTTACATTGTTCAAGGTAAAGAGAGGAAATATTTTTTTGCGCACTTTTTCAACTTTGAATATATAAAACAAAATTCTGAAACGGATTTCTTATTAATATTTCATTAAAAACTTTTTTCAAGATAGAAAAGCCAACTTTAAACTTCAGTTTTTCATAGTTAACCCTATCCTGGTTGGGCTATATTTGCCTAATATAGGCGGGGGGGGGGGGGGGGTGTTGCCCCCTATGATTTTTCCCTTACGAGTTTAGATAGCGGAGTGTGATAGAAGTTTAAAAAGAATGTCGGAAAATGTTTAAGAATAATTATTTTAATTTTGAAAAATATTAATATTTGACACATATTATTACATTTTTCAAGGGTTTCTCAAATATAAAAATAATTTTGCCCCGTAGCTAAATTAACAAAAAGTGTATTAAGCATTTCTGATTTTTTTGAAACACTGACCCACTCCAGTTGGGTGTTAGAGGGGGTCAGCCAAAATTAATGTGTTCCATAATCCTCTTTTTTTGTCAAATAAGGCTTGGCCGCTTAACAATATTTTTTTGAGAGAAGTCTCTTAGTTGTTTAAATATTATGTTTTAGTTAAGAATTTCAACCAAAACCCTGCTATTTCATCAAAAAATCTTAAAATAGGATTTTTCAATACGCTAACCTGACTAAATCAAGGATTTGGAGTACTGCTGGACTCCCTAAATCTTTTCCATATGGTTGTTAGAATCTATGTTTCATCCTTTGTGCGTAACCCTGTATATTCAAGATTCAACACTGAACACTAACAGATGTGAAAATAGAAATGCAGAAAATCACTGATAAACAATTTATTTTATCAGTTTTCATAAATACAGCTATAAAAATAATATATTATAGAAATTATTGTTTTCCTGAGATCATTTATAAGTTTCTGGCTCAAAATTTAGACAACATGTTCTTCTTCAAAAATAAATTGAATTCCTGTAGAAGGAAATAACATCTATAAATTAAAAAATGAAATGTTGATATTTCTAGATATATATTGGAGTGGATGATTTAACCACAGAATTGAGAGATAGATCAAAGAAGTTTCTGGTTGACTACATAATTTCTCCTAAAGATGGATATCAAGGAAAGTATTATATTGTTAAGTTGATATTATTGTCATGTAATAATTTAATTTGCTTTCTTAGCATCTATTTGTTTTTCAAAACTGCATAGCAATATTTCAAACCCAAGTGAAGTACATCCAAGAAAACTGAATTATAGATTAAATATGATTTTAAAAATCTCATTAATTCCTCCATTTTTCAAAACAAGAACTTTAATTTTAGGAGGAAAATATGGATCTTTTGGAGGCTATGATATTATACTGGTTAAGACACATCTTCCTATGGACCTTAATGCACCGGTAAATTATATTTAGGCCAAGGAGATATTAACTATTTAACAGTAAATGTATGAAATAACTCTGAAGCATAAACACTTTTTTAGTTTTTTGTCTAAAAAAATGATCATCATTGATAACACTTACAGAAGTATCTAGGGTTTCAAACGCAAGTGGTTTTTACTTGTGTGGAATTGCGAGCAAGGGCACTTTTGCACCCCCCTGACAGATTCAGGGCGGTGGCAACGTCCCCTCTTGAGAATTTGATCAAACATTGTTCTTGATTTGATTAATCATATGTGCCCCTTTGTCAAGAAGGAATTATGATATTAAATACAAAAAAACAGGTAAGTTTAGGAATTTAGGAACAAGGTTAACAAAAAAAAAAACTATGAACATTATAAGTTAAAAAGGGAACAATTCAATATCACAAATGTTTGGTGAGTTAGGAAAAAAATAGGAAGAACTAGATTGGAAACATCCAATGAGGAACATTGACTATTGGGCCATATATAGGAACAAGCAAAAAAACAAAAGAACAAGAACAATAAATGAAATACATAAATTAAGGAACAATAGAAAGATTGCTAAGAAATTAGAAACTAACATAAATGATTTAAGACAGGGACTTAAGGTCTATAGGGACACAGTGTTAGGAATAGGAAAATAAATAGGAACATAAAGCAAGCTAAAGGGAGGGGTTAATTTTTTTAACCCCTCTCCCCCTCCCTAAAAAATTGTTACCCCCCTCCTAAAAATAAATATCTCTACTCATGATGTTTATCAAATTAATGGTTTTTGTTCGGTTTGATTTAAATTTTCCACTCATGTCTGGCGTTTACGACCTCTATCAAATAAGGGCTGCCTTTCCTATCACCTTGTTTTATATCCTTCCTTATAGTCATCAATTTTACAATATTTGATCTGTAAAAAAAACCTGGATTTACTTTAATCTGTTATAATATGTTATAATACATCTTTATAATAAAACAAGACATTTGTATATATTTCCCTACAGCCAACCAAACGGCTGGACTGAATAGGCTGAAATTTTTGTATTACCCTCATGGTTCTAGGGGAGTACTTAAACCCAATAACCCCCCTATGGTCTGTATACGCCACTGAAAGAAGCTTATTGATTTTTTTTCAGTATTTTTTTTATGAAAGTTTTTGCATTTTAATATTGGGTTATGATTTTCAAGCACCATTTTTTCTGTGTAAATCATAAGAATAATAATGTTGACGATTTTTCTTTATGACTTGGGGCATTTCTCCAAATTTTAAATGACAACATTTTGTCAAGGTAAAACCAGTCATAAACCTTGAATTTTCTAAGTTGGCTGAATTAGTTTAATCATTTGGTAGTTTATCGGAAACAAACAAACTCTCACCAAGACAAGCAATTAAATATATATAAATACTTAGTTTTGTGATTTCAAATTAAGAAATTTTTGTTTAGATAAATGTATGTATCCCTGGACCTGATTATACCTTTTCCAACCCAAACTTAATGATTGGAGGTTATGGGAGGAATCGGAGAATACCTTGTGAAGTAAACGACCTAGGACCTTCTATTTTTCAAGTTAGCATATCTAAATAAACTTTTGGATTCCTCATTCAAAATCTGGCAAAACTATCTTTAAGACTTAAAAGATGTCATCATTAAAATGTATAGCTAAGCTTAAAAGTATACTTTAGTAAATGGATGTTTTCAGTAAAAATTGGTTCTAAATCAGAACCTCTTTTTTACTGTGACTTAAATGCTGCTGAGATAAAATTTAAAAAGTTTTACAAAATTATGCGACAACGTTTTTAAACGACTTTGCATAAATTTAATGTTGATTTTTAAATTGTTTAGTTCTGCAAAGTGGACAATATGTGCAAACTTAAAACCCAGCAGTACCAGCAAGCAAAATGCAATGTTCAGTTCACATACAATAATAAGGTAACCTAAATTCTTCATGTTGTGAATGAAATTTATACTAATAAATACAAAACGCCCCAAAACAAAATGTCCAATAACAAAACACCCAAAATTATTTTAAACACCCAAAATTATTTTAAAAAACAATTGTTTTGTTTTGGAAAAAAAACCATAACGACCCACTCCTTTTGAACTTTTAGAAAACGAATAATCGTTATTGAAAATGATCTTTTAAATAAAAATGATTTGGAAAAGTTTTCATAAAAGATTGTTTTTAAAACTATCGCTTTTGAAAAAAAATTTATTGACAATTATGTTAACAATCGTTAACGAAGGGTCGTCGTTGATGATTGTTAATGAAACGGCAAACTTTATAACAACAGACGTTTTTGGAAAAACTGTCGTTTTTGAAAAAAAAATTACATGCAACTTTATTGAATGTTGCCCTACATGAGGTTAAACAGTTGTGGGGGAGCTAAAACGATCATTTTGTTTTGCTATTTTTCGTTTTCATAATGAAACGATAGTTTTCAAAAAAAAGAAAACGTTAACATCCCTGGCTTCCGCTAGGGGCCGGGTGCTGCAGCTAGGGGTTCAAATGAATATATATATATATATATATATATATATATAGTCAAATGAACCAAAAAATAGTTTAAATGTATGTATTATTTCAGGGTTAGGTCAGTTTAAGACAATTTCTTCTTCAAATGAGCATAAAAGTAGTTCAACTGTACCACATTTAAAACTATTTTCTGGTTCATTTAAACTTTTTTTGCATTTAAATACAATGAAATATGAGCGAAAAACATTTCATATATTTTGTAACATTTGCATTTCTATAAATTTGGTAAAAATATATCTTTTGTAACTTAAATCTATTGTACTTATAGCATATGTATTTATATGTTTTGTTATTACATATTTTGTAATTGTACCTTTTGTACACTGCACAAAGACCAATTTACCCAATTCACTTGAGTTAAGTTTAACCTCCTAAATTCCACAACTTTCTGAGTTCCACTGTATTACAATTAGGAATATGGAGGATGTATTACTGAAGAAGAAACACCAAGTGCAAGAAATCCAATCTGTTCTGATTTTCGATCAAAGACTCTGTTAACTGATCAAAAAATGAGAAGGTATTTTTATAGCATGTCGCATTATAAAAACTGATGAATATTAGGTTATTCAGATAAAAACATAAAATCTTTTTTATGTTACTAGGCTCCTCTCTAGATTTTAGTTGAAATACATTTTTAGCCTGTAGAAAATTTGCTGTCTTGAGTTACCTAACCCATTGTATTTTTATTTTTTGTTGGATAGAAACAGATAATCTTATTATTAATTAGCCCATACCTTGATTTGATTAAAATAAGTTTAAAATTAAAAGTTTATTCCAATATTTTATTATTTTTGAGTTTGTAAAGGTGGTGTGGGGGGGGGCAATCTGACACTATTTAATGCAGATTTTTTTTTACTGTCTTATGAATTTTGTGTCAAGCTTCTGTTTGCTTTAGGAATACTGTGCACAATGGTACACTTTAAGTCTATATCTAAGTGATATTGTTTATTTTTAAATTAAATTAGTTTAATTCTATTTTCAATATTGATAGTGGAGACAATGGTTTAAAGGTCACTTCTGTGAATCATGGAGGGTCAATTAAAATTTAGTCTTTAGTTCCTGTAACTAGGATTGTTAATTATTTTTGAAAATGATCTTTAAACGATCATTTCTTATTTCATATTTTCAATCGTTTTCAAAATGGATCATTTTGTTTTCAGAAAAAAAACTATTGTTTTTTAAAACATCCCACTCGTTTTGAACTTTTAGAAAACAAATAACGTAGCCATTGTTTTTGTAACTCATATTATGAAGGTCATCCAGAGTCAGATATATTTTCATTAACTTAGCCTATTTTTGTTTTTGTGATAATTCAGAAATCTGAAGAAAGCTAGATTCAAAAGCTATGAAAACCCATTTATATCATTTTCTATTTTTAAGAATGGATTTAAACGAAATCGTAATTTTGGAACCTTCTAGCTTGGCTGTTCTTACTAAATGTTATAGGTGAAAATGTTTATTCATACATTTGCGTTTTGCATTTTAAATTCAATAAATTGAAATTCATCTTTGATTTAAAGCTGGATTACTTGACTCTCTAATTCTGAAGCGAAAAGGCTTTCAATTAAAACCTTATAATTAATCTCATCCCACTATTTTTTGTTTCTGAAATAAAACAAAAAAGTCCTAAAACTAATTTTTAAACATCTTAAAAGATTATTCATGTCAAAAGGGGACATTATTTAAAACAACCTATAGTTTTTAATAAAATTATTATCTCTTGTTTTATCAAATTTCAACAAGAGCACAATATTATAGTATGTGGGTCTAGTAGGTAATTTAAATTGAATAACTTGTCTAGGATAGATCCAGGAAAATATGGATGGTGTGGAATCACAAACAATGTTATTGACGGAAAATTTGAAAAAACTGAGGTCATCATATTTTAATCAAAAGTATGGGACAGAGATCCAATGTTTGCTTTTCTAGGATGGTGGCATTGAAACTGACAATGGGTGGGGGATTTGTTCCCAATCATGTGACACTGCTAATGGAACAATTTCAGGTTTAAGGTCTATCCTAAATTTTATTGAAAAAGTCATTCAAAGTATATGATTTAACAGCATCTATTAATTCTACACTCTTAGTGTTGTAAATATCAGTTTTCATGATTTTTTTATTACAAAGCAAATCAATTAAGCAGGTTTAAAATCACAATAAATTGAAATAGAATATTTTTTATGAACAAGCATGATTGTATAATTTTAGGGAAACCTAAGGTGAAGAAAGCTCAGATTTTAGATCAGGACTACTGTGACAACAATTTGAACATGTTGAGGGGTAAACTTACAGATCCTTATACCGTGAATCCAAAGGTAACACAGATAAAGGAGTTAAGTTTGTATGTACACAATGCTTTTTGACGTATAATTTGCTCTTATGCTTTCTTGACTCCAATCTCAACATCAATTAAAAAGGTTTTTTTTTATGCTACACTATAAAACAGATTCTGAATTGTTTTGCACCTTTTTAAACAGTATTTGTCAAGTCAATAATACTAAAAGCATTAAATGAGAACGCATGGAATTTCTTCTTTTTTTTTGGGGAGGGGGGTGAATATATTATTATCTTAAATTTTACATTTTAGGTGTATTGTGTTGCATACAATGAAACATATAAAACTGCATTTTTTTTAAAGGAAGGAAATATATCAATGTTTTACATGGAAACATTTTTGCAGTGTCTATTATTATGCTTTAAAATTACAATATAGCTTAAGGAATTGAATCTTTGCCACAAACATTGATTTTCTAGTTCTTATATCTTTGAAACCCAATGTTGTTGAATTTAAATATTTTAAAACTATGAAGTCTGTTAGGTTAAATATTCAAACATTGAAATATCACAGGTTTACATGATCTAGTTGCCAAAATAATTTGAGTTTTTGGCAAAGAATACATTTTTCGGTGTACAATTTTCAAATAAGAGCGTAAAGTTTCACCAGAAGAAAAGTTTTTTTTTAAATTATTTGATAAAATGAACACTCTAGTTGCATGTTTACAAACAGGTTGAGCAAAAATAATGAACTCACTGAAAATAAGTTATTGACATTCGTTTTGTGGGTTACAAAAATACTTTAAGGTAGAGTAGCTGGTTGGAGGTATTCTTTATTTTTATTGTGAAGACAACATTTTTAAGAAATCTGTGAAGAAGATTATAGAAACAGAAAAGAAAATGATGTTAACGAAATAATCAATTCTATAGCTTTACCATGGGTTTTATCAAAAAAATTTTTAAAATAGTATGTTCTTACACAACAAATATTTTTTTTACATGTTATGTCCTATTAAATCCTATTAAAACCTAACCTAACAACTTTATGCTCTTATTTAAAAATTTTACACAGTAAAATGTCTCATTGGTATCAAATTAATCCAAAAGTTCTGCTCTACAATACTGTGCTTTCAGCTCAATTACCATAACTAGCTGGTCACTCCATTAAAATATGAAAGTGTTGAAAGATTTTATATTTAAAGGTTTTGCATCTTAATAAATTTTCCTGAAGTCAGATAACGGAAGTTATGTGATGCTGGACAATAAGGAATATAGTTTTCAATATAAAAGTGAATGAAATTAAGGCCTTTTATCTTTTTAATGATTTTTTTGTTTAATTTGCCGTCTTATGACTAGTTTACTGACATTTCCTGCAAAATTTGTTTTTCATCTTTTTTAAACTGTCTATTTGGCAAACATTTTGGCGTGAACGTTCCTGTGTAATTTTGTTTAAAAAACTCAACAATTTTTTTTATTGCACTGGAAACCCAAATCCCTAAACAGAAACTATAATCGATGAAGCCAGAGTATCACAGTATGCTAGGTCGAAAGAATTCCTGGTATATTAGGTGGGAATTAGATTTTGGTAATATAAACGCTTCATGTGTTTTCATTATTATCTTTTTAAAGATCTGTTGGTAGCTGTTTAGGAGACTCAGGGGGTCCACTCTATGAAAAGGTCAAACAAATTCAGAATCAGAAATTTAAATTTAATGTTATGTTAGAAGTGCATTTATTGCTTGTAAATACAAATATTGAAAATTGAAATGAATAATGAAAAACGAAGGAACATGATTTGCGGGTTTTATAATCCTCTTTCATGGATTTCTTCCACTACATTATTAACTTTTTTCCGGGTGATAATTTTGAAATCTTAACCTTAGTTGAAAATTTACTTTATATTCAATTATCACATTTGTGTCTTTCAAAATTTAGCATTTTTATTAATTGCCTGAAATGCTTTTTCATAATTTTCATTTGATGAACAAAGATTAATTTCGACATTATGCAGTAGGGGTGATCAATATTGGAATTGAGCCAATTGCCCAAAGGAGGTTGCTGTGTTTTCACTAAAAAAAAATATTGCAATAAAAAAATTTCAAAATCTTCCATAGGGTTGCGAATTGACGATTTAATTCACCGTAAGACCAATAAAATGTTCATTCTTGGAAATTTAATGCTGAATAAAAATCTTAAAATTTTTAAAAAATTGAAAAGTGAAGAAGTTAGAGCTAGAAAACTCATCAAAAACAAGTTAAAATGGGCGTTTGGCTCATTTCTAAAAAAATATTTTTGTAAATGATTGGTATAAATGTGAGAAAAGAGGAGGTATTCTGTATTTTTTAGAAACCATTTTAGTAACATTTATATTTGAATTCCCTTTCAACAATTTTATAAAATAAAATAGATGATAGAAGACACAATTTAGCAGGGTTGCCTTCACTCAGCTCACAGATTTGGGAACAGTTCTTGAATTTCTAGAAACCATATTTTAGGCAATAATTTTAAAGATTTGCAAAAACTTTAAATTCATCTCTAGGTTGGAATTGCTTATGTACTGTTGGGAATAACTAGCAGAGGTATCGGAAAACTGGCAAACTGTGGAGGTATTGAGAACCCAACACATTACGTCAGGTTAGCCAATCTCAGCTAAACCCCACTATTTCTTCATGAAAAGCTTAGTTGAGGGTGTAGCCCCATTTAAAATAGCAGTGGATTAAAATTTTAGTGTTTAAAGTAGTATGACTTAAAAATAGATTTTATTTTGAAAATTTTTGGTTCAGTCTTGAAATTATCTGAATCTTGCCTAAAATGTTGTGAAAAACTTGAGTTTTCAATTCAGTCCAGTCCAATGGTTCACAAATTTGCTTAGTCTGAAAATGAGAACAAGTGAAGAAACAAACAAACAATTGTTGTCTGAAAATTAATTGCAATTGTTTTTTTTTTAAATCAAGTTTAATTATTGTACTTTATTCTGATGCTTTTACATTGCATATTAAACTAGCTAGGGATGATTTAGAGATAATAGCTTCAATAAAAATGGTATTAAAGGGAGTGACCGGCTATGTAAGGTAGTTGAACTGAGTATGCAGTGTTGTGGAAAACTTCTTTCGGATTCATTTGAGACATATTAAACTTTTTAAAGATCTGTAAATCTGGAGTTTGAGCGCAAAGTTGACATTCAAAACTCCTTCTTTGAAGGTGGATATGTTTCCAGAATTAGTTTTCTTAAATTATTATATAACGACAATAAAATATAAAATAAAAAATATACAGTAATCTAATTAGATGGGTAGGAACATATTTCTCAAAAGAAAGTTGTCAATAAATCAATGCTAAAATCAATTATTTCGTTTTCATTATTATATTGAATTTCTTATCTCTTTTGAATTTATTTGCAGATTTGTTCAAATTCTTCAAATGTCGTCTTTTCAATGAAAATTCTAGAAAATCTGCGAAATTCTTTGTGAATACTTAGAAACCAGAATAATGAGACAATAGAAACTAATAATTGAACAAGATTACTTATTTTCGATGATAAGATTAATTTTTATTTTCTCAACATGTTCCTATACATGACTTCTGTAGTTTATTGTAGAACTTTTTTATGTCATTGTTATTTGATAATTAAAAAAACTAAATTTGAAAACCTTTCCACCCCTAAACTAGGAGTTTTGAACGTCGAATTTGTGCTCGAACTCAGGATTAACAGATCTTTAAAAAGTGTTATATGTCTCAAATGATTCCGAAAGAAGTTTTCCACAACACTGCATACTCAGTTCAACTACCTTACATAGCTGGTCACTCCCTTTAAAAGGAAATATTTGTTGTTGTTTTAATTTTCATTTTTATCTTTAGGATGAAAGATATGCTAGTATGGATTTCCAACTATATTCCAAAAGATGACCTTTGTGTTATAAACTCTAATTAAGCAAAAATAGATAATTTATAAAAACTAGTTTTTGTATAGTAAATTTTAATAAAAGAACCCTGAATAAAACTAAATTGTATAAATAAATAAATTCAATACCCTTTTATTCTTTGATTTTATCTAAATTTATTTAATTTTATAAAAAAAGACAGAGAGGTTCAGAACTGTATGGTCAAGTTGTAAAAGTAAAAGATGCTTCTTAACTAGTCTTTGAGTAATGGGCCTTCTTAGTTTTAGTTTCAAGAAATAGGATATTTTTAAGAGACTTTACAAATTCTTTGGAGAAAGCACACTGACATTTTTTTTAAATCTTAGACCTAATAGACTGTTTGCCAATTTGGGTGGATCATTGTTTGTTGGTTTGTTTGTCCTATCATAACTTGTGAACCCCTTGACCGATTTGCCTCAAATTTTGATTAGGGAATACAGTAGAATCAAAGAATGTGTTATCTTAGTTTATTGATTTTAGGTTAATTCAGTTGATTATATAATAAAAGTTCAGTTTCTGGATAAAACTGGTTTCTCAAACTAGTCATAACATAAAATATTTAATCTAGTGTTATCTAATGTATTTCCATGGCAAAGCATTGTGTCTAGTCTTATTATGCTTTTCATTTTATTTAATCTATATAATAAAGAAGGCTAAAAATCAATTAAAATGAAAAATATATTTTTTTTATTTTTTTAATAAAAACTTTTCAACAATTTGATTTAAAAAAATTCCACAGGCAACAACAGGACTTCAGCTAACTGCTAAAAAAAAATCTACCCAAAAATTTTGCTGTGAAAGACTAACCCCGACCCAAACATTGAGAAATCACATCTTTTAATTAACCCAACATTAGAAATACCAAGATAAAATAACAATTATAAGGTTTTTGTCTGAGATATTTTTAGATTATGTGCCCCCTTCCCCGCCCACTTCCCTCTTAAAAAAGTGATTATTTACCTTTGTATGCAGTATGCCAAGTGTATTATAGTATGTTTAATTTAATGTAAAATTTAATGTTGTTATATCAATTATCTTCTGCAAAATAATAATATTGTACTTTCTATATACTTAATAAATTCATTAAATGAAACCAAGCACATGACTTCTCTACATATTAAAGCATGAGAAACAAATCAAATTTTTTAAAATTTACACATTTTAAAAGGGTACCTGGGTAGGGTGATATCAGGAGTTGTTTGAAAATATGAAAAATAAAATTGTTGAAAAATTAAAACCTGCAGGTCAATTAATCTCAAAGTTCTGCGTTATTTTAGATATTTTCATAGCACCCACCAATCTTTTGAAAGTTCTATTTTTTAAGTGTATAGGACACTCAATAAATGTACTTATCTCTAAGTTTGATAAGGCTTGTATTGATTGTTTAAAATTTTTTGGCCAAAAACAATTTGTGAATGGGTTAGAATCCCCCTTCACCCCCCCCCCCCCAACACGCAGCCTTTACAGGGTTTAAAAGAATTAATTTTAAACTCCTTCTTGAATATTATGAATAAAATGACTATTATCTATTTATTAAAGTATAATATTAAATCATTAGGAGCTGAAAATATCAAATTACTATATATTTTTTCCCTGTCATTTTGGAGCAGCTGACATGGAAGTTTCTCTAGTAGTGTTCTACTTTGTGTTAGTGAACAGCCACCTTGCTCAAGCTACTGAACGGATAATAGACGGGGAAATTGTCCAGGGAATAAAAAAGTAAATTGAGTAGCTTAAAAAAAAATAAACAATAAGAAAGTATATTTTAGGCCCTCCTTCCTGTCAATATTCAATTTCCAACCTGGTTCATCAGTGAAGTGTAGTAGCTCTATAATTGCTTCCTTTTGGATTGTATCAGCAGGAGAATAATTCATTAGTTTAACAATAACAAATTAATTAGTGCCAGTGATCAGTAAGGTGTCAACAGAGGATTACTAATGATGAGTGCTGTAATTTTTCATTACATGCTGTGAGTAATTCTTGAAAATATTAAGTCCACTCTTAAATTCAATAAGATAATCTATTAAGAAGCTTAAAAACTGCTAAAGAAGGTTAAAAAAATATTTTATGAAATCATGATGTTACATATCAATTCGATTTCATCAGGGAAATCAACATCATCGAAATTTAGAAAAAAGTATTTTTAAACTGTTAAAAATGCTCGTTTTTTTTAAACATTTCAATGGATTTAATCTTTGTAGACAATTGTGAAAAAATGATATATGAAATGATAAATTCAAGAAATATTTTTTTGGGGGCTATGTAGGGTTTTTTTCAAACTATTGCAGCAACTATGTTCTAGAGTTTTATAGATATTAAGCCAACAAATTTGATTACTGCTCACAGTACACATTGCTATGGGAAAAGCTTAGCAAGCTTATTTATTTTAAAAAATTGGTCATCAGTGGACACCTTAGTAATTCATGATCCTGTATCATGACAAATATAGAAATTGGAAAACTTGAAAGAAGTGGGTTGTGGAAAAACAAAACGTAATATTCAAATTTAAATTTATGACCTAAACTAAATGTTTAAAGCTCTTGTCTTAAAAGTCAAACTGCCTTGTTTCCCATTAATTAAATTTTACGTCTTTCTCAAATACAATCTTATGGAACCAAAAAGAATGAAAAAGAAACATGAATGCTATTATTTTATTTTTTTTGTCAAGATTTTTTATTTGTACTTTTTTAGGATTCCATCTACTACATCTCTGTAATAATTGATATTATGATTTATATTAATCTATCCAGAGCTGGGAACTTTTGAGTCGGATACTCATAATACAAATTTCTTGATCTTGACACAACTTCAAAATTTTATGCAGAATCTGCTTGATCTCCAGATTTTGGATATCAAACATTTCATTCGCTGTTGAATGCAAAATTCCATGGCTTTTGATTAGCTGTTCATGGGAGATCTGATTGGCACTTCACAGGATATCCAATAAATATTAAAATTATCTGTAGATTAACAATAGATCAAGATCCAGCATTGATCTCAAGATCCCAAATACAACAGTTCTCACCTATGGTTTATCCTGTCCCCCCCCCTTTTAATTAAAAGTTTTAAAAATATTTAAAAACTGTCACAAGTTCTTCTATTATTTGATACCTTAAAATTTGAATTATAATTTGTTCAGCGCATTGTATTGTGAGTAAGAAATTAATAACAGAAGGATCTTGTTTGGATAATTACGATAAAGCCAAGGGATGTTGTAGAAAATAATATCAAACTTATATTCTCATTAACTTTAAATAAGGAAAAATCTGACTTTCATATTAGTTAATATTATACAGAGTAATTGGTAAATCCAGAATTAAATTTTATGCTTATTCAACCGTTTTAAAAACTTAAGCAATTGTCCACTTATTTTTGAAATAAGCATAAATATATAAATTTGGCTTGTCTGTTTGTCTGTCTGTCTGTTTGTTTGTTTGTTTGTTTGTATCCAATAAACGTCAAAACGGCTGAACCGATCGGGCCCAAATTTTTTGTGGGACATCTAGGGACCCCAGGGAAGGTTTATGAATGATCAAAATTTCAAATATTTGTCTCCATCAAAATTCGATCGTCATTAAATTTTTTAAAATTTTGAAAATCCGCGAAATTTTTTTGTGAAAATCCGCGAATTATTTTTGTTTTGTTTTACGATGTACACAAAGAGAACATGTTCACAATTAATTTAGGAGATGGGCGCGAAGCGCCCTTTAAGGCTAGAAAGAAGGGCGCGAAGCGCCTTGAATTTCTAGTAAGCATAAATTTTCCTAACTTTTTACATTGGGTTCAGGTTTAAGCCTATAAAGGTGTTCTAGACATTATAGATCTATATAAAAGTGTTGACGTGGACTGCCCATGTAGACTGCATGGGATTTACTAATTTGTCAGCTGAAAATTTTGAATAAAGAATGATGTTTTGAAAAGATCATAAATGTTGTGTACATTATTGCCTGCATTTATCTCCACAGCTTGTCCAATGAGTCCAATGGGTTCTAGGGAGAGGGCAAGGCTAGAACTAAACTCTATAATCATGGAATTATGAATAATTTCTTTATTTGCATTTTGTTATGATTGTTGGGGCTTAGAGATTCTTCGACTTGTTAGACACTCAATCCTGTGTAGTTTAACCACAGTTTGCATATGAGCATGTACTTTGTACAGTAAACAATATCTGACTGTCACTTACTGACACTATCTCGATCATTCTACCTTTTGTTTAAGAATAAATGTTGGGTCAACTGCATACTGGATACACTAGACGGGCTGGTACAAGTAAAGACTAGATTAGTATCCTTGTACTGGTTTGGACCAGGGTGGACTAGTGTTCCTTATGAAAACTCTGCATTTATAGTGAATTTCACTTTGTTTCTCAGATATTTCAAACAATGGATTCTACTGAAAAAATTGGGCAAATAGGAATAACAAGTTCATACTGTCTAAAACCTTTAAAAATGTTATTATTAATGCCCAGTTTCTGATTAAACATTTGACATTCTTTTGCTCAAAAAGATAAAACATTTTTTATTTACACATGATCAACTTCTTTTTTTAAATATGTACAACAAATATAAACAAGTGAAGTTCAAAACATTATGCGAAATCCAACCAAACGGTGATATGAAGCTAATCTTTCCAGCGCAAAAAGAAAAAACTCCAGAGGTAAAAATAAAGTATCAAATTTAATTTTCATGTTTGTGAGTATTGTTTTGACAAAAATTCATATATTTTAAACTATAAAATCATAATTTCTATTTAATTATTTTTGTTGTGTATTAAAGTGTAGTATCTGTTTTTTTAAATTTAAATATAAAAGATTAACTGTGGAATGAATATTAGAAAAAAAACTTTAAAATTAAGTTTTTTAAATTATTATTTAGAGATGAATTTTGTTTTTGTTGTCAAGGTGTATGTTGGAGTTGATGATCTGAATTATGAACATGATGATGAAACTAAAAAGTTTTTAGTTGATTTTATTATAAGTCACAGAGATGGTTATCAAGGTAGTTAACTTTTAACATAAAAAATTTATAAAATTCTAAGTAAGGTAAATTATCAATCAGAAACTTTACCTGCCCCCTTTTTCTTTCAAAAAAGCAAAAGCAAAAAAGCCTGACGGCACATTTCATAATAAGGGGCACAGAAAATAGTGTGGTGTATGTATGACAGACTTTATTTTTAAACTAAACTGATTAATTTTACATTTTCATATTGTCCCTTTCACAAAATTGATATTTAATAACCATTGATATTGTCGTCTGGTGACATTATGAAACATTTTAATAAGCAGAAAAAAAGTAAAAATTAAGCAAAATGAACGATAACATATATATGGCATATGCAGAGTCATGAAATATCTACGTGCTGGAATTTTAAAGTTACTGAGTTTTCATCACAAATTCTGATTTTCTATTCCCTATATCTTTGCAACCTGATGGTGTAGACCTTTAATATTTCTAACTATCTTTTTTGGATGAAAAAGAACTCATAGTTTGAAATATCTATGCACTCCGAAATTTAACGATAAAGATATTGTGATAAAAAATCAATTTAAATGAATTTGAATCAACATTTTTTTCAGGGGGAAAATACGGAGCTTTTGGAGGCTATGATATACTGCTGTTGAAAACTAGGAATCCAATGGGTGAAATGCTTAGGGTATGCAATTATAAATATTCATTTCTTTATTATGGAGGTGGGTATGAAGGTCAGTAAGCTAATTATATGACAAATTTGTATTTTTCAATCTTGGCACAAAATGAATTCTTATTTAGACTTTGAGAACTGGTTGAAGTTTATGTTTTTTTGTATTCCTAAAAAGCTAGAATTGTTGATCTGATTTAAGTAAATTGATTTCAGTCATATTTACTATCACTATTTAGAAGTCGGAGAGCTTTCACTTTTAACCCCATTTCCTTATATTTTAATATAAATACATTATATATATATTATGCATTTTCATTTTTTCATACTTTTTTGTAGGGTAATCATGTATAGAGCTGGGCACGTTCCGACTTTTTTGAAATCGTTCCGTTCCGTTCTGGAACGAGGGCCTTCAGCTAAATCGTTCCGTTCTTGTTCCTTTTTTTTGTATCGTTCCGTTCCGTTCTGTCCCGATCCGTTTTGTTCTGAGTAGAAGAACGGTCTTCCCGTTCCGTTCCGTTCTTGGTGTTCTTATTTAAAGAACGGTTCCAGTCCTCTCGTTCCGTTCTTAGTCAAAGAACGTTTCCATCCCCCTGTTCCGTTCTTAATATAGAACGATTACTAAATCCTGGTTCCCTTAAAACAGGAGGTGTACAATTTGTAGATTTTTGAAAAAAATTTAATTTTCATAATCAATATTTCAATAATATCAAAAGGATATAGAAATGAATTATAAAAAACAATTTCTTTCAACCTTATTCTCCCCCCACCCTCTCCTTATTCCCCTTTCAGCTCCCATTTCTGTTCTCCCCCCCTCCATGTCGACTAACCCGTGTATCCCCTTACTTACGCGTAACGCTTGCACTTTTACCTAGCAACACATACTTACGCATAATTATATTCTTACGCTTTTATAACCGTATTTTTTCCCTTTTACCCCCCCCCCCTACCTTACTTTCCTATATTATTGTGTCTAATGTAATTTACAATTTAATTCTATCTTTAATTTCGGTTCACTACATACAGAGAAAATCTGAACTGGAAACACATTTTCCTGATTTAAAATGTGTTCCCAACTTAGAACGTGTTCTTGAAAATAAGAATGCGTTAACAATTTTAACTGTTCTTTTCATGCAATTCCCATTTCGTTCTGTTCCCTTCTTTTACTAATCGTTCCAATATTTTTAAGAACACATTCTAAGTGTTCGTTTTTTTTCAGAACGATGGGATCGTTCTTGATCGTTCCGTTCGTTCTCGGGAAAGAACGATCGTTCCACCAGGAACGCACCCAGCCCTAATCATGTATATGGTTCATTTCGGGTTTTTGATGGCTTTGAATAGAGACTTTTAGTAATACACTAGTTGAGTGCTTTTAAAGGGACTTTTAGCGTAATTTCAAGTGACCTGTCATAAAATATGACAATTCCTGATTTACAACAGTACTCTTAAAACCTTACTCTCTAATCCATAATGTGGAAGATACCGTCCATTTCTAGATTTGAAGAATTAATTTTTTTTTATTCTTGTATGTATTCCTGCAGTAGAAATGCACAGGTCACTTTTGTAAAGAAACCATAGTTGAAATAATTGATCAGACATAGCTTGTATGGGTACCGTTGTAAATTGGGCACTATTTTCAAAAGGAGGATCACTTGAAATTACAACGACACTACCTTTGATGAGACAACAAAATGTTAATAGTTTCTCTATAATTAATTAGGCGTGCCTTCCTAAGCCTAGTTTTACGGTCTCCGACCCTCTGATTGGAGGATATGGACGCTACAGAAGGATACCTTGTGAAGTTAACGACATGGGTCCAAATGTTTACCAGGTAGATTATCAACCGATCAATGCATGAGGAACAACAACAAATTGGGTAATATATCATAAATTTGAAAAGTACTCACTAGTAAAAAGCCAAGATTGAGTGGAATAATGAAGCATGGTTGCACACAAACTATATTTACATTATATTGATACAAAAAATTAATGTTGGACCAACTTCAGTTGACCTAAATACACATCATATTTGCCTGGGTTGAATATATTTCCATTTGACTCTTCTGATCAGATGCTTTGAGCTGACTGTCAAGTCTTGGGGGAATTCTGGGGATAAGATGGCCAACGATTTGCTTTTTTTCCCAGGCTGGATAAATGCCGCTTCACTCTTTTCTCCACTCATTTCTCCCTAAAGGGGACTGACTCAATATCTCCAGATAGGAAAGGGGGTTCCCTTGTTAGCCAAGCCTGTTATGTACTAAGGCTGCAAATATACTTGGAGTTCAATATCCTCTTGGACTGGGTCTGGATTGTTTGGCTTTGTTCTTGGATCGCATTAGTTAGGCCTAATTTCTCCGACTGGGATCAATGAATTGTATGATACTATATATACATTGAAGAACCTTTGGTTGGGTTCACAATATCAACAGACCAAAGGGGAACACCAACAATTTGGGTAATTTATCAACTGACCAATGGGCAACAATAACAAATTGGCTAATACATCAACTGACCTATGAGGAACAAGAACTAATCAGGTGATATATTAACCTACCAAAGAGGAAAATAACAATTTGGGTAATATATCAACTGACCTTAAGGGAACAAAAACAATTTCAGTAATAAATCAACCAACCAATGTGAAACAAAAACGGATTTGTTAACTGACCAACCAAACTTTAGCAAACAATTCTGGTTGAAAAGATTAGGTTTTAGAATTAAGAAACTAATATCAAAACTCTAATTTCAGTTTTGCAAAATGGACTCAAAGTGTATGAAAAATGAAGAAAACAAAAAGTATCTATGTGGGGTAAATTTTAATTACAAGAATAAGGTGAGACTAAAGAACACAAGGTATTGTCACTTTATTTTGAGAATGTTTGATCTAACAATTCACAGCGTTGTATACATTTTCTGGGAGATATCCTAGCCATTTAATGAATCTACAATATGAGGCTATATTTTTTTGCTAAACCAAAGTATTTCCAAACACAACAATTTTTAGGGAACTAAAGGTTATTATTGTAAATAATTTTAAAAAATACTACCCCCTAAGCATTTTAGACAAAGAACGTGGTGCCTATTTGGTCTGTGCATTTTTCTAATTTTTATTTTCCTTGGCTGCACTTGTACTTTAAATAAAACATTTCATTAGGAGTTTAGAAAAAAATAATATGCCAGGGGTGTAAAATAAGTATTTCAAGTTTTTTTTTTTTAATTGGGGACCAAAATACATTATTAACTCCTAAAAAATTTGTCCGACAAAAGTAACTTATTGTTTATAGTGTCGCACTATTATCTTGTTGCGGAAACGTCGCACTATTATCTTGTTTCGCAAACGTCGCACTATTATCTTGTTTGCGCCAATGTCGCACTATTTTCTCATTTTTGATTTGACTTCTTTTTGTGCTTAACTGTACATGTCGGTCAAGAAATTGATAAGAGAAACCACCATTGAGATTATAAACAAAGTGTGTACAAATATACTGAAACTGGTTTTAAAGTCGTCACAAAAAAATCTTTTTTGATATACACGTAAAATTGATAAAATATCTTTTGAAAAAGTTCTTAACTTCGTCTTCATATGTTTTCAAAATCCATGTCCAACAAAATCCTGTCAATGTACTTCCTTGGATTTCTATGATGTGTGTAAGTACATAGTGTAAGTTGAAAGGAGGACAGTTTATTTATTCTTATTATTGAAATAATTAAAAGTGATCACATGGGAAAATTCTTTAATAATTCTAATCTATTTATTTTTGTCTTATGTTTGTCAAATATTACACCCATTTTTAAAGAAGAAATCTTATTTTTCAATAAAAGTTTGTTGATTTAAAAAATATTAAGTTTCTTTGCCCCTTGAATACAGGGTGACTCACGAAACATGACAGTTGGAAAATAGTTTTAAATGTCGTCTTTCATATACTGCTTGTAGTTTATTTTGTTTAAAAAATCTTTTGCTCAAGTATATTTCACTTTGAAATTAATTTTACTATAATATGACTCCTATATAATATTTTTATTATTGTCTTTCGTATTAAATAACTTAACAAATTATGGAAGAAGACGTTCTAAACTATTTACCAACTCTCATGTTTCGTGGGACACCCTGTATATTTCTTCTTTATGAAATATGTCGATTAAGTACATATAGATATAGTCTATAGGAAACTAATTAATAGAACAAAATACCCATACCCGGAGAAGCACCACCTCGTCATATAGAATTATTCTTTAACTTTTTAGGTTTATAAAAATTGTATAAAAGATGATACTCCTAGTTCTCAAAATCCAATTTGTCAAGATTTTTTTGACGAAACAAATCTTACGACGGCTGATTTTTTAAGGTATGTTTTTATCGAAACATGACAGAATACAAAATTGTTAATCTTGGTGAAATATCTAGAAAAAATGTAAATGAAATTGCCATTTTTGATCAAGATCTGAACTCGGTTCTAACTAAATGTTACCGGTAAGTAAAACATCTAAATATAAATATTTAAGTTACTGATTAAAAGATTTGGTATTTCACATCAGATGAATTTAAGGTATCTATAATACAGAATGTTCAACTTACAAAGGATCAGGGATTTAATGCAAGAAAAGTTATTTCAGACGTGTATACATTTTTTTCACTGCAGTGTATTGTCTTTGGGTGGAAAAGTAAACACAAGACGGATGTCACAGCCTGACATGGAATCCATTTTCACAAAAATAATCTATGAAATAAACTGGTCATAGGAAACTATTATGTGAATTTTCAAAATTATCAAAATCAAATACTTTTAACCTCCTCGGATACTAAACGAACACTGATGCATCTATTCTTTTTTACAAATTCCTCACACAGAGAGAACTGGTTTCAATATGTACGCAGAGTATACACGACCGCAATTAACTTTCCTTGCATCAGTACCTTGCAAAAGATGAGACTTTTACAATTTGGTCGATATTTTACCAGGTCCAGTCCTGGCCGCTATGGTTGGTGTGGAATCACTAAAAATATTATCAGCAGTAAACAAAATAAGAAGAAGGTGAGGGGAGATCCGTTTAACGACGACTTTCAATTTAAATTTTTATGTCTAAAAATCTTCAAAACAGTTCCTCTTTTGTGTACTCGTAGACTTGTAATTTGAAAAAAGCTTGTTAAAAATCAAAACTTAAATTTGAATGCCATCTTCATTGTATTGATACAAAACAAACAGACAAATTGGATTTTCTCCAAGTTTAACTTCTAAAAACATATTTAGCACCCAATATTCAGGTATTGGTGCTGATAAAATTCCATTGCTTGACCTTTTCGGGCACGCACTAAAAGTAAAAGTCTCTTGTCCATTACAACTATAATCAAATATGATATGGAATAGAAATGAATATATGAATTATATAGAATACAAAAACTTTTTGTTTAAAGACTATTGAAAAAAAATGGAATAATTTTAGGATACGATTGTAGCCTATGATGATGGCTGGGGATTTTGTTCTGAATCTTGCGGAAAAAGTAAAAATACAGCAATATCAGGTAGCGTGTACAATGTACCGGGTTAACTGCAAAGAATGTGACATCATCAGCATTAAATTTATAAAAAATTCTTTTTTTTAACCAATATTTTATAACTTTTTGTTTTCTTTGCCAAATCATTAAGTAGAAATTCACCTAAGCTAACAGAATTTTCAGCAATTTTTAGTGTTTGTATCAGGGGCGGACATAAGGATTCTGTAGGGGGGGGTAAATATTTTTAATTTGACGCGCTTCGCGCGCCAAATTTTTTTTTACCCCCCCCTAGAAAAATATCATGATGTATATCAAATTATTGGTTTTAATTGGGTTTGATTTGCATTTTCCATGCACTCATTTCTGGGATTTACAAACTCAATCTAATAAAGGCTTCATTACATACCTTTAAGCTTTCACCTTGTTTTATATCCTTCATTATAGTCATTCATTTTATTTTTTACTACAAAGATCTGTAGAAAAACTGAATTTATTTAATTTTAACTAAACTTTTTGGCAAACATTGACAAAAAAGGCAGTAATATAAAAAAATAATAGTTTTACTCTAAGAGGAACAAAAGATGTTACTTTTTTAAATATTTAGAAAAGCTACTCTGCAAAACTTTGAAAAAATATGGTCATTACTCATTGTTAAATTTTCTTGTCGTCAATGTAGTATGTTAAGATCTTAACGAAATCTAATGTGGAAATGACATTATTTATAAGTAAAACTGTTTTTTATTGTCCATACCATTTTTTTTCTATTCACTATTACTTTAGAATTTATGGGGGGTATTTACCCCCAGGATTCTAGGGGGGGGGGGGTAAATAACCCCAATAATCCCCCTTATGGCCGCCACTGGTTTGTATTGTATTAAGTAGAATTGGTTACATGGAAATAAATATTTAAAATCTCTGATGATCACCAGAAGACTAAGAAAACGTTAATTCTAGGCCAGGCCCGTGTTAAGAAGGTTCAGATTTTAGATCAAGAATTCTGTGATTCTAATCTGAAATCCACAAGAGAAGGAAAGACACCGTTTACTGTTATGCCTAAGGTGAATAAAAGTATTTTTTAAATTTTAAACATTTCCTTTCTAAACCAGCGCAAAGTTTCTTATTAAATTAAACTGACTTAAAACTTTTTATTCCGCAAGCCTGTACTTTATAATCCCAACTAATTTCTTCTATGATCCCTACTGCGTTCTTAATTTCTTCTATGATCCCTCCTGTGTTCTTAATTTCTTCTATGATCCCTACTGTGTACTTAATTTCTTCTATGATCCCTACTGTGTTCTTAATTACTTCTATGATCCCTACTGTGTTCTTAATTTTTTTTATGATCCATACTGTGTTCTGAATTCCTTCTATGATCCCTACTGTGTTCTTAGTTTCTTCTATGATCCCTACTGTGGTCTTTATTTCTTCTATGATCCCTACTTGTTCTTAATTTCTTCTATGATACCTACTGTGTTCTTAATTTCTTCTATGATCCCTACTGTGTTCTTAATTTCTTCTTTGATCCCTAATAGACCGTGTTCTTAATTTTTTTATGATCCATACTGTGTTCTTAATTCCTTCTATGATCCCTATTATGTTCTTAATTTCTTCCATGATACCTACTGTGTTCTTAATTTCTTCTATGATCCTTACTGTGTTCTTAATTTCTTCTATGATCCCTACTGTGTTCTTAATTTATTCTATGATATCCTACTGTGTTTTTAATTTCTTCTATGATCTCTACTGTGTTCTTAATTTATTCTATGATCCCTACTGTGTTCTTAATTTCTTCTATGATCCCTACTGTGTTCTTAATTTCTTCTATGATCCCTACTGCGTTCTTAATTTCTTCCCCGGAACAACCCCTCAACCCACTTTATCTGATCAAGTATGGATTTGATTATACATGTTTATCATTTTAAAAACTGATTGTTTTCAATTCCGGTTTCTCTACAATTAAGTGAGTTATGCTTTTCTGCTACTGGAAAAAATGTAGAAATTATCAGAATTAAATACTTCTCAAGCTAAAGTAAAACGACAATATCTTCCACATTATTGATCAGATAAAGGTTTCAAGAGTACCGTTGTGAATCTGGCATCTTCCTCTTTTAAATGGAGGGTCATTAGAAGTTACAGCAACAGTCCCTTTACATTTATACCGCATTTTCACCAACATTACCGACCTAAGATTACCCAAACAGAGGGAGGTTAAGTTACTTAACTTCCCTTGGGGCTTTTATGTAAAATAACCACCCGCTCTGTGAAGTTTTCAGGAAAAAATTTGCGCATTTTCATCCCAAAAGACGATATAATTGTTTACGACTACTTTTTCAGGAAATTAAAAATTTTACTTTACCGCGGGTTCCTTGGCAAAATTTGTCTTAGGAACCCTTGGTAAAGTAAAATTTCCTTAACTTTCATGTAAAGCAGTTTCTTCAAATTTTGCCGCTAATCTAATTTAATATATTACAATTTTTTTAGGTTTACTGTGTTGCCTACAATGAAACCTTTAAAACTGCATTTTATAAAAAGGTCAATTAAAATTCAAAAGGTTAAAAACTCATTATTTAATATAATTCAAAGGTACGGCGAGTGGTTGGGGAGGAAATAGTTTTAAAATAATTTTTTTGCTTTGATACTGGGGGCCTGGGGGGGGTGCTTTTCAATGTGACCAAGATCATTTGCATGTTTAAAATATTTCTTATATTGTTTGTAGGTTCATAATGGATTGTATGAAGAATTAGATTCAAAGGGAAAGATTCATCAACATGATAACATTTACATGATTACATAAATCTAGTAAAATTAACATAGAAACATTTACATGATAACATTAGCATGAAAACATTAACATGAAAACATTAACATGATTACATAAACCTAGTAAAATTAACACAGAAACATTTATATGATAATATTGACATGATAACATTAACATGATAACATTAACGTAATAACATTTACATGTTCACGTTAACTTTTTAAAATTAACATGATAACATCAAAATGATAACATTAACATGATAACATTAACATGATAACATTAACATGATAACATTAACGTAATAACATTTATATGATAACATTAACATAATAACATTAACATGATAACATTAACATGAAAACATTAACGTAATAACATTTACATGTTTACTTTAACTTGTTGAAATTAACATGATAACATCAACATTATAACATTAACATGATAGCATTCATATGATAACATTAACTGGATAACATAAACATTAGCATGATAATATCAACATGATAACATTATAAAGATAACATTTATTAAACATGATAACATGATAACATTATTTTAATATTATAAACATGATAACATCCTTTTAATAAAATTAACATGATTTAATAAACATAAACATGATGAAACTAACAGATGACATCAACGTAATACAATCAACATGATATTCTTAAAATGATAACATTAACATGTTAAAATTAACATGATAACATTATATTAATAACATTAAATTATCAATATTTTATTGTGGCTTAACTAATCTTTTTGAGTAAGTTAGAGTACCATATAAAGCTGGGTAGAGAGCATCAATGGTATACAAGGTATTTTCATCATTTTTCTCGACCGCATATATACTATATAGTCACCTTCAAAAATTCCTTTTAAGAAAAAAAATTTAAAAATGTTAGTATTTTTGTACATATCCAAGAATCATCGATTTTTTCTCAACTAAATTAATATGTTTCACCGAAAAAAAAAATTTTCCTGTAAAACTTGGATTTTTTTTGCATTACTGACAAGAGTGCAAAATTATCATTTCGCAAGAAAGAATCCATTAATTAGCCCTCATCATAATCATTATAATCGTTTAGCAATAAGATTGCGTTCCCAATTCCAGTATTTAAAATTGGCAAAAAATACATTTTTCAAAGAAATTCTTTGTGTCCAAAGTTTTAAGGGAAAAGGTGAAATGTTCAGGAGAAAGATCTTAAAATTTAGACGTTTTGATTAGTGATGGGCGTGTTTTTTTGTTTAATTTGTTATATAACAACCTTAGTTTGTGAACGAACAATTTAGAAATCGTTCGTTAATGCTCTGACTGTTCAATTATTTTTTTTGTTATTAAAACTTTTCTGAACGATCTTATTTGTTTGTTAAATTTTTTAAACAACTTCATCGTTCACAAAATGTTTTATACGTTTTGAAATATTTCGATCATAAATGATTTAAATGCCCATCTTTATTTTTGATTTCTAAACTTTGGGTTGTCTTCATTATTTAATAGTCCTAAAAGAAAAGAATAACAACATGATAAAAAATCAAATATAGGTCGACCGGAAGTTGTCGGGGAGACTCAGGAGGCCCTCTTTATGTTCAGGTGACAGAAGTCAGAAAACATGCCGTTAACGAGCAAAAGTTTTTGAAAATTAACAATAAAGATAATTAGAAATAATTTCAGTGACAATCCAGGTTAGGTTTATTATCAGTTAAAACGGTTTCATACTGAGTTTTTTTGTTAAATTGATTTAAGGAACCTGTTATGCGAGCCATGCTCCGTGTATGAAGTCTATTTTATGCCCCTGTGAATTTCTGAGTTCTCCCTGCGGATCTGTACAGAACGTATTGTGAAAAACTAGTTTTAGAAGCTGTTTACAGGCTGACTACGCAGGCGCAGGATTTCTCGCGTGGGAGTGAACAGTTTCTGTATTAGTATATGTTTATTTGTCTTGCAAGTGTAACCGTGCTAAAAATTCTAGGATCACTGCGGTAATTATTTCTTATATATATGTATGTTTATCGTTTGATTATATTATGATTGGTATTTATAAATGTGTTTGTTGGTTCCTTGCCACAGTTTTTTAATGCCTGAGTGGATTATTTGTTGTATTCGTATGATTTATCACTCAAAGCTTTTTCTGTGGGTTTATTAAACTTATTTAGATTGAAGACTCA